TACATAAGAGTTGTTTTGACAAAGGGAAATCTTATCTCCGGATATCCGAAGGTTATTCGATGAAATAATTTGTTTTTCTTTCGTTAAGAATCAAATCAATAGAAGTTACACGACTGATTGTTTTCCTAAACAATCGAAAGAGAAATGAATTAAACCGGAATGAATCTTTCTGCTCGATCAATTAGCTCATTCGACTCTAATTAGCAAAGAAAAGAAAATCTCTCGATTTACTCGAGCTTCATCAAGTTAAAAAAACTTTCCATGTAAATTTGATTGATTACAATTTAACTATCTACTCGATGTTCATTAAAGACATATTTGTCTGGACGGGATTGTCGTTTGATTATGAAGAACAATTGAAAATGTTCTTTGTTTAGTCGAATATGATCGATTCTCTCTCCTTTTTTTTGTTGTTGAAGGTAACAATGCTTTAAATTCACTTGAAGTCGAAGTGTTTTATTGTCATCGACAGTTTTCATTTGACTCATATCAGTCGGTCTGATAAGAACTAATTGACTTGACTTTGTCCGATAAAGGAGAATAAATACATCAAAGATATGTCGAAGTAGTCAGTCTAATAAAATCGTCATTTGTCATGATTGAACAGTATTGAGGACATCGCAAGACTGGTGAAAAGAATTCGTAGTCACAGTTCTGTTCACGTTCATTTCCGATGTGTTTTCCAATGCAGAAGAGGACAGTGAATAATTAATTATAAGAGAAATTTGTAATTCATCACGTTTGTCAGACGTAGTCAATGTTATGAAGAAGAATTTCATTAGTTATTCATTTCGAGAATTACGATTTTATACTTCTACAATGGTTAGATCATTGAATCAACCTTGATCTATATTTAGACGTTTTAAATATTCATGATTTGCGGATTTTCTCAGTGAAAATGATGTCCATTGACAAATTCTTTATTAAATAAATAGAATTATCTACACACAATTCATAAAACATCTTGAGAATAACATTGATCATAGATTTTTCTATCATTGTTTGGTCTCTAATGTCCATTTTGTTCAGGAAAAGGTACTCGTGTTTGTTCAACACTCGCTTGAAGATTAATATCTTGCAAATGATTGATAACACTACTGAATTTTTGTTGCATTTGAACGTTTTGTTGATTGAATTGTTGACAAATTGATGTCAAGTCTTTCAAAACTGGAATTACTTTGTCTAAATTGTCATTTGTCGGTGAACTTGTTTTCATAGACAATAATCGTTCATTCCATTTACTTTCAAATGCATTCATCATCGATTCTAGTTGTCTACAAATCAAAACATCGATTATGGACATGAAATAAAACACAAGAAATCATCTCACTGTTGTTGTTGTTGAAATAAGTCTCGAAGTCGTTGTTCAGTCAATGGTTTTTGTGAACAATTGGAAGCATAATGTCCTTCAGTATGACATCGATGACAGAATGGTGGTTGATATGTTCGAACTGGACATTGTTTGCCATCGATGAGAACATATCCTTTACTTAGAGCTGCATTTGCAAGTTTGATCGATGTGAAATCAATACGAACATTGCTGTTGACTTTTCCATCTTTATCATAGAGTCGAGTGACTTGTTCGACACCTAAGTAGTTGTGTCTCAAGTCTTTGATGATTACATTTGCGTCTGCATTTGTTGGAACTTTCGATGCAACGATTGACTTGGTTGGTTTTGGTTCGGGCAAAGGAGAAGCATTGAGCGATTGCCGAGGTGACTGATGTTTGGAAGACATGTTTGCTTGATGAAAAGTAATTTTTTTGTCTTCATAGCACGGCTTAAATATCAGTGTCTATTGCAAAAACGGAAATTTCATTGCGACTACAGTAATAGTCGTAATGACCCTGATGAAACATTATGCAATTATCTTTTGCGTTGGATATTACCAAGCTGTGGTGTAATATCGACGTGTTCGACAATCATAGGAAGTCAACGTTTCTTCAAAGAAAGGAAAAAGGTATTGCACCATCCATAGTGCGACGCAAAATAAGTAGTTTCTCATATGTGTTATAGAATCGGACAAGCCGCGATTACGAGCCTCACTCCGTTTGAGCCTGAAGCATACTTGGACAAGGAAGTTGATTCTCCCCAAGGAATCATTTCTGGGCTCGTAATTAATCCGACACTTGTTCACTTTTTTCTCCAACAATCACTATAGACTTAGTCATTGGTAAAAATTTTGTGAAAATAGAAGAATGTTCTAGAATAGCGTGGAGAAAAAGAGTCATTCTTCCTATTATCAAGTATACATTTGTTTGTGGTTACATCAGACAACAGAGAAAAGAATTTATTTTTACTTTTCGGTTTTTTTTCTATAAATTACAAATCATCGAAATAAATCCACAACAAAAAAAGATACGAACTCATTTTTTATTCAAAAGCATTTTTCTGAAGTCATCGTTATTCATTGCATTCGCCGTCGTCGTTGTTGTGGTGGTTGCCGGTTGATTTTTTGCTGCTGTAACTTTCCTCGGTACTAATGATATTTGTGAATATCCTCTACCGCGTGGTCCCGTCGCTCTCGGTGCTTCGCCTAATGATGTTGGTTTTGCTTCCGTAGAAGTTGATTTGACAGGTTCCTTACGTTGTGGAGGATTACTAATTGCTACTTGAATGGTGTGTTCACCAATGGTAGTGCCATCAAGTTGTATAACCGCTTGTGACGCTGTTTGTGCGTCATCGAATTCGACATAGGCGAGTCCTTTGGATTTACCGCTCTTATGAGTTACCAATCGAACGTCTTTGACATGAAAACCTTTTTCAGTGAATAATTTTCCAACGTCTTCTTTCGTTGATGAAAAAGGCAAATTTTTAATAAACAATTTATTTTGTTCCAATGCTGTCGAGTATTTGAACTTTTTCGTTAAATCATTCGATGTCGATCGATTGGGATCATAAGGACTAATATACATCGGACGGCCATTGATAAGTGTATGATCTAATTTCAATCCTTGACGATAACCTTCGGTCGTTGCGAAATCGACATAACCAAAACCTTTGGATTTGCCAGACCATTCGTGTTTAACAATGCGAACGTCTTTGATTGGACCGGCTGGCGAAAGTGCGTCACGAATCTTCTGTTCATCGATATCGTAGGCAAGATTAGCGATGAAGACGGTGTTTAAGTGATCGGTATTTGCAGGATCGACGAAAGTTGAAGAAGAAGAAGAAGAAGCTGGAGTTGAGACTGAAGTGGCAGGCGGAGGTGGAGCTGGAATTTTAAATCCGTCATTATCAACTGCGGCTGGCGCAGGTTTCTTTTTAGCGGTTTGGACCTCTTCAGACGACAGTTGACGCTTTCGAGGTGATGTTTTTGATTGATCGTTTGTTTTTCCGTTTGTATGAACAGGTGGTGCAGCTAAAATATCGATAGATAAAATTAATTTGTAGAAAAAAAAGATGAATTTTACTTGTATCCATTTTGCTATTTGTTGTTTTCTTTGATTTCTTTGATGGCTCGATTTGTTTCTTATTGTTCACTTGTGGTTTTTCTTTTGGAATAAGTTTCTTCTGAATTTCCTTTAATTTTTCTTTCGTTTCTTTCAATTGTTCAATCGTTCCATACTTCTTCTCATGTTCCAACAATAAATCACAAACACTCATCGGATAATCCATCGTTTCAATATGATTTAACGCTCGATACAAAACTCTTCTCGCGTGTTTTTCATCTCCAAAATGAATTTCCGTATAATAAAAATTCTTCCAAAGATTCGCGATTAATTGATTATGTGTTTTGCTCATTAACGTTCGTCCATTCCAAATTTGTCGCGCACGATCGATGGAATGAAAAGATTGAGTTTCGAAATGAATCCAATATAATTCCAACTGTCCGTTATATTTCAAAAATAACTTCGGATCAGCGGTCCCGGAAAACAATTCTTGATATTGATCACACGTCGCTTCACATACATGACGAATTTCTTCTTTCAGAGCTTCACATTGTTCAGCCTTCGTCGACGATAATTGTTGGTAATAATGACGACGACGGTATTGCATATATGCTAATTGAATGTTAACAAATGATTCTAAATTTGTCGGATCGGAGTTCAATGCGCGATCGTAGATTTGTTTCAATTGAGAATGATCAGCAGTTTGGCTCGATTCCATGAATTCAGCATAACGAATCCATAGACCAGCAACCCAAGGACAATTACGTAACGAACGATCGAAGATTGCTTGACAGAGTTTCGGTGATGAGAGATGTTCTTCAATAAAGTCAATGTATGACAACCATAAATCTCCATCGAGACAATGATCAACTAGAACGAAAAATATCAAAAATGCAAATCTACAGAGTTTCTTAGTTGGTCTTACCGATTGCCCGTTCGTAGAGACATTGAATTCTCGCGGGTTCTTTCTCGAATGCGATATATCTTCTGTAAGTTGCTACACTGCGATTTGTATTATCTAATTCTTTTTCAAATTTCTCACATTTTTCTAAATATTCAAGCGCTAGGTCGAACTCGCGTTTCACTTTTAAATCATATTGTTCCGTGTAATTCACCGGAAGAAATTCTTTGTATTGTTCACAGAAACTTTGGTAATCTTTGTAATAAATGTCCGACATTCCACGTAATGGAACTGCTAATTGTCGACGATATAACGTTAAAACGTAATCAACATGTTGAAGAAGTTTTTCTTTTAAATCTGAATTTTCACTGTTCTGTTCGTAATTCATTCGGAGTCCGTCCAAAATCGCCTTTTCAGTCTCGATATACGCCGCCCAAAAGAGACCTCCAGCTGGTAGATGAACGCCACATGCACTAAGTCCACGTTCAAACAAATTTCGGAAATTTTCAATGGAATTCATCGACATATAATACGGAAGTCGATATTGAACGTATTCAATCCAGATCATGATGGATAAATAATCATTGATAGCACGTTCGAATAAGTCGACTAAAGTTTTGTTTTCTTCTGTAGTTGAGATTAATAATTTCTTTTCATCGTCGAGCCATTCGAGCCAGAGTTGTTCGGTTAATGGAAAGACTTCCGACATGGTTTGACGAGCGAAACGTAAATGTTCGAGATTACCGTACTCACGAGATTTGCTGATGTAATCAAGATGAGATTGATAATTGTATAAATTTGATTGAACAATTTCACGAAGTGCGACTAATTCATTTTCTTGTTTGGTATCATCGAGTTGCTCTTCGGAAGAATCACTTGAGGTGTCATCATCATCATCATCATCTTCCATATCGTTTTCGCTTTGGTCTTTGTTTACTTCCATTTCTTCGTCTTCGGATGACATCGTTCAGTTTATTCGAAAAGTATCTGAAATGTGCAATATGAGAATATATAATGGAACAATGATAGGTAAAGCGCGGAATGCATTCTGATTGGCTTATAAACTCAAGAATAAGACACATACTGGTTTGAATGTAGTATGTGAATGTAACTTATCTTGACCATCTAAAATAGAGAACGATTTTTCTATTGATCAATTCCTTCACATTCTCAAACGATTCTTTTAGGATTTTCAAAAGGAAGAAGAGTATCTATTTTTTGATTTTCATCAATATGCGTTGACTCGAACGAACTCGGCAGTAGTGGTGACCATTGGTCTCCGATGAACTCCATGAACAAATTGAAGTCTACTCTTCTAAAGGACAAATGAAACTCTAGTGAAGCTAAGTAATATTGTTTTATTGCTAAAATTATAACGTCAAAAACAAAAGAGAAAAAAACATATCTGACAAATGTCTACAATTAAGAGAAATTGTGCGAGAGAGAGAAAGAGAGAGAGAATAATAGATGTAATAGATCGAAGACGAGAGAAAAAAAATATATAAATGTTCAAGTTCTATAAGATATAGAGTACAAAGCTTGCGCATACACACCGAGCAAAAAGCACTGAGAAACGAAGAAGAACGACTACTGAAAGACACAAACATGTTTTCTCTCTCTCTCTGTCGCACATGTTGTTGTGATTTTATTTCATTAAAGGATCAAATTCTTTGGCTACTGTTCGAAGTGGACTTTGGCTGAACGCTGAATTGGTAAATGAAGATGATCCATTCGATTTCATGTGTTGATAAAGATACTTTTCATCACTTTTCGAGTGTTTTTTCATTGAAGTTGATGATGTACATGATGATGTAGATGAAACTAACGAGGGCGAAGAAGATTCATATGCTCGTGTATGTTGTGACGAATCGTGTACTGATATCGATTGAGTTGTGAAATCATCATGAATTGAAAATGTTTTGGTCGAATTCGGAATTTGTTGGTGATCAGTAAGAGTTAAGGTATAAGGATCGGAGATACTTTCAGAAGAGATTTCTTTTCCTTTGCCTGAATCGGGTGAGTCGCTTGATAAACCATGTTGATTTGATAGTGGTGGATAAAAAAGTAGCTCTTTTGGACGTGTTGGAAGAAGTTTAAATGAATCGATTTGATTCGGTTTTGCCAATTTGATTTCCAGATCATTGGTGTAGAGTAACAATTGTTGAATATGAGTTAATAATTCACGATTACGTTGAAGTAGTTGTGTATTTTTATTCTAAAATAAACGAATGTTCAAATGTGAAGTCTCGTTATTTGTTTCAACGAACTTGTGCGTCAATTCGCGCAGCTATTTCAATGTTTAATTGTTCTTTGATTAATTTGATTTGATTAAACGCCAATTCGGATTCGTTTTGCATCTGTTGTAGCTGTTCCTGCATGAACTGCATTTGATGTTTGAGTGTAAATTCACTTGATAAGGGTGTTGGAAAGATATTTATTGGTTTAATTTCCTCGGGAATTGTCAGAGACTGAAAAGGATCAGAAAGACTTTTCACCGATGGAATATCGACACTTTGTAAATAACGTTCGCCCTTGTCTTTCGAATCGAGATGTTCCGGAGAGATTTGTTTCGCTAAACAAACGCAAAGATTATGAGAAAACAAATGTGTCAGAGAATATTTACGAGTTGGTTCGTTTTCAATCGATATTGTACTGATCTTTGTTGGACTAGATGTCGAATTTGATGAAGTTGGTTGTCGTTGTTGTAATGCTATCTTATGACAAACTTCAAAAGCTTGACCAATCGTCCGAACAATTCGCATTGCTTCATTCTAAACAGGAAATATTCAAATAAATCCATCGATCAAACAAATCTCTTTCTAAGTTATTCTGTTTATCTTACATGCAATCGATCATTTTCTTGGCTCGAGCTCTTGATCAACATCGTCTGACTTCCTAACTTATTATGGCAAATCTATTCTCTTTTTCTACTACGAATATTTCCTATTCTGCTCTTATCTTGTCGATATATAAACCGTCTGGGGTAATTACCTTTTTGTATGCTTTGAAAACATTACAACGAAATGAATTATTGATATGATCTCGAGCGATATAACTGAAGATTTTCAGATCTTGACTATCATGTGAAACATAAAATACCCTAAAAGATATCGATTAGACCAAAGTTGCTTTTTACTCCATCAATTCATACCGATAGACCGGATGTTGCATAATTACAATATCATTTTCATCAATATACAATTCTTTCTAAACAGAGAAGAAGCGTTTCAGGAACCTTTTTTCTGATTGATTGCACTTACCTTCGTCTTTTTCGACAGACAAACTTTGATTCCATCGACCGATATTGATAAACTCACTTTTCGTTTTTTCACGGCTTTGGCTTTGAATTCATACTGAACAAAGAGGAAAAGGCTTCATCCGAGTTTCATCATTCATTCATTCTTACTCGGATGCGTCGCATGGCAGACACAATTTCCACCCGACTTGTTGGTTTCGGTACTTCCAATGATCCGATAAACTAAACACGCAAAACAAATGAAACTGAAATTTCGAATATGAAAAGTTTTACTTTGGCATTGAATTGGAGTCCATGTTGAAAAGCTTCGTCGTTGTGTAAAGGAATTTTACTGTCATAACCATCTTCAGACATTGGATCGTAATCACGATTTTTCGCCGACATAAATAACGATCTATAGAGACAGATGGAAACATCATTTTTCGTTTCTTTCACAATCGCAAAGGCACATGCACATCTCTGATTTCATCAGTCATTGGATCAAAATCACAAATTGATCCGAATAAATGACGAAAGATCTTAAGAAAATATTGTCACTGAATTATCTAAGCGGAAATTCCATGTTTTTTCTTTGTATTTACAAGAAACTGAAGACTTAAATGATAATAGATGTCACTGGTGATTGAACGTCAATAAATAAAAAACCGACGCATATGAATGTGTCATCCTAATTGACAAATGACTTTACTAAACTGTCTTCGACATCGAATGACCATCTTTGCTAAACACATTCAATCATTTTCATGTCCCTGAATAAATTTTCTCATTCTCTTTTCGATAATTATAGTTACTTTCATGACATGTGTCATGTTCTCTTACTACAAATGAACATCAACACTTGTCCTACGTGAGACGAAGTAAAACTATTACATCGTTCATCTATCTTACACCTATTCTTTGCTCATTATGACTAAAAACGAGTTCTTCTTACCAAATGATCATATCATTACACCTCAATTCATTCATTTTATTTCGATATAGAAAAACTTTTCAATTCTCTTCGGTTTCGTCAATGAACGAACACCTTTAAAGATTAATCTTGACGTTTATTGAAATGAATATCAAATAAAACAATATTGTGCATGCATTCCGTTTTACACTGATTGCCTTGAGTTCGAGCTAAGCTTTTCGTTTTACATTTTGAATAGAAAAAAAAGACAAAGAACGTGAAGAGTAATAAATATCAGTCGATTTCATCGACATTTTTATGATCTCAAATCCTATCAATTTGATTCTATCATCAACAGCAAGGTCTCCGCAGAGTATTTCATATAAAGAAATAAAACCGAGAGAAAAAGTCATTAATTCCAACAATGTCGAACAAATCGTCTCATCTATCAACTGTATTATATCGATCGAGATAAATTTGTTTGATGAGTGGGTTGAAATCAAAGTAGATGTGTCGATATCGAGGTGGATGTCTGTCACCTTCAAAGACAAGGAGATGGATATTTATGAGAACTGTCATAACAATATATCTGTTTATGTCATTCTCATGATCGACATGACGAGGATCTATCTTTCAGTAGATGTATATGTCAACAACGCTCTAGTACTCTTTGGTTGTATTGATAGAGAAGAAAACAGGAGAAGTTCTACATGGGATATCAACGATATTTTCAAGGATCATTGAAAATCAAATGCTGTCGCTGTTTTCTGTACAGGTTACGTCACACATTCTCATGCGCGCTAATCTTATTAGGAAGATTAAACTCTCTTCTGATCATTGTCGGCTATGGTTTACAAGTAAGGAAAAAGACGAAGAATGGATAATTAGAAATAAGTTACATAAGTTCCGTTTTTCAACATCGATGATTTCCGCTTCGATACTTCGACCAGATCATTTCAATGAAAAATGACAAGACTGATTAGATAAAGCAGCCAGAGAAATGACAATTACAAATGCACATATACACGAACACTCTCTCAGCATGTTTTTTCGCTTTTTATCAGAGGAAAATCTATTAGAAAACGATTATTCGACTTAAAACATCATGCTATTAGATTTGACTCGTCAAACATATTCATTAGAGAAGACCTATTTAGATGTTTTATACTCAGTGGAATCGCCCTAAGGAACGAAACGACCTACTTAAAACTTACTTTAACAACGCCATTTTTTTATTGATAAATGATTGAAAAGCGTTTGTATGCACAAATTGTTAACAATTACGATGAATACGTGCACCAGGCGATACAATGATCACATCATTTGGTTGTATCTATCAATACACATACAATATTTCTATTGATTAAATACTTTGATGTGAAAAGAAAGAGAGAGAGAGAAGAAAAAGAAAAGAACGGAAAAAATAAATCTACGCGGTTCATCATCACTCCAGAAGAAATTCTTATTTTTGCTTGTCTGCATCTTAATCAAGTGGAAAAAGAGGAAAAGATGAATATAGAAAACAGAACTCTACATTTAGATCTTCTTATTCGTCGATCTAAATCATCGAACAATTCAATATTTAATATACATACGCACCCAGAACGTCTCATTCTTCGAGATCGTTTCTTTCTATTCTCATCTATAACTGACGACAATGTCACTAAGGAAAATGCAAAAGATAAAATTGCATCTAGATAATTGATTTTGCGTCAAAGAGGAAAACGAAGACGACAACAACAAGAAAAGAAAGATCTCTCTCTGTCTCTCTTCTCCTATTGTCATCTTCATTTATAGATATGTTGATGTGTGATACAATTCCTAGCGAACACGATGATAGGCAATAATGAGTATGTGTACGATCGAGTAATCGATCATCACATGCCGTGAGCGAGAGTATACTACTGATCAAATCATCTTGACAATGTCTCATGTGAAATACATAAGACCAGAAGAAGAGGATGATGATGAATGAAAACGAGACAATTTCTTTCGATGGAAAAACTTTCGTAACACAAAGAAGAAGTCAAGCTGAATGATTGTTCCGAGTGATCGAAGAGTATTAATAGAATGACTCTCTTATGTATAATTTGTTCGCTACGGTCATGTGTTTAATTCAATCCATTTTCTCGACTATTAATCTTCAATATTTAGAAATATATTTTGATATTATAACCATACATTTTCGTCGAAAACTAATTGACGTATAAAAGAAAACGAACGAGAGTGGAATGATTCCATAGGGGGAAAGCGAAAAGCAAATGATAATATAATCCAACTCGATTAGAACTTAAGATGACATCGTTGACTATGGTTGACATCCGGCAAAAAAGCTTAATTAGTCTAATATTCTTGTCTATCGTCTTCTTTGTTTGTTACTCGAGGTCATCGAATGACATTCTTTCTTGTTGAATCATTTTACAGGAGTATATTCATTAGCAAATCTATTGTTATGCTTTGTTCGATGTCAAAGCAATGTAATTCAATGGAGAGAATGAGTGACAATCGACAGATGTTACATTTATCGGAAGTTATTAGCAGATATTCACGGAGAGAAGTTAGTCTGAAATAGAATTTCATCATATTTGACGATTAATTATTAATAAAACAGAATCGATTCGAGAGCATTTTCGCTTTTTTTGTACTAACTCAACCGTTGATCATTTGATTAGAAAAGAATTCGAATCATTTTGTTCGCCGAGAGCATCATAAATAATACAGATCGATTGCGTACGCATGAATGAGTAATGAAAGACATTTACAATGAAAAAAAAGAAGAAGAAGAAGAAGAAGAAATTGTGAACATATGCGAGATTGTATATTATATCTTGCGTCGACTAATTTCGCTCGAAGGAGAAAAGATGAAAATGATTATCTAGTCTATGTTACTGTTTTATTACATTGGAGTATTAATTTTCTTGCCATTAGAATAAATTAATAGTTAATCATTTTTAGCTTAAGTAATTCGGCTTTTTTCTTTGAGAGTAGTGCGGATAGAAGAGAAGATTAGTTTTTCAAGTAGAATTGATTTACTGGTGTCCTCGATAATGATTTGTTTATGGAGAAGATATATGTCTATGTTCTTTACCAGTTTGTTTACTTTATTGGATAGTTGATCGAAGTCGTAATAAGCGTTATAATGTAAATAAGAGCATCAGATTTTGTTTGAAGTGAGAAATAAAGGTTTGCTATGAAAAAGTATCGTTGTGCACAAGGAAATGTCAATGTTACCATCGAAAAGCTTTTGGTAACATGAAAGTATATTCGAATAGTGATTGGATCGATGATTTCTGTTAGAATGGTAAATTAAATGTGTAATTTATAAAGGAATCGAATATTTGAATAAGAAGACAATTTGATTGTTTAAATGGTTAATCTCATTACATCCTCAAGGCATTGTGAGAGTTCATAATACTTTAATCAAGATTGATCATCAAAAAATCTTACTTCCTTTTCTCATTCGAGTGTTTAGACCTAAATATTCTATAATTATGCCGAGAATATTTGCAATTGTCGGCGAAAACTAGACACAACAAACGACAAGGGATGTATAACGTAGACAATAGGGCACGTTATCGAAAATATCGTTCGAATTGCGTTAGATAACATACCTGTGAGTGTTTTTCAAAAGAAAAGAACGCAAATATTTTGAATCATCGATTCACAATTTAAAAAAAGGAACAGCAGAACGATAAAAATGGATTTTTCCAAATTGGAATTTACCCTCTGTAGTCATGCCTTTGATGCCAATACGGAAAAGGCCAATCATTTCGCGTATATATATATATATAGTCTGTCTGTTTGTATCATCGATACGTCGTTAGTGACTCGAATTAAAGCCTCGATCGTGTTGTAAACATGGCAGTAAAGCGTCCACCGATGGTCGCCACATGGGTTGATCAAAGTATTGGAGAAGTCGGTACACATAAATCCATCAAAGATCGCTTCGAAACCTTATCAACATTCATATCTCAATGGTTATATTTTAATTCTTCGGATGACTTTACAACTTATGTGGAAAACAACCCGAATGTTAAGATAATCAGTGTGATGTCAGGTGGCATGTCTCGTTTATTAGTTCCGAAACTTTCGTATCATGCTTGCTTGGAGAGTGTCTATGTCTTTTGCGCAGATCGTGCTCGAGCTCGTGAAGCTTTGGAAGGTGAGGCGAAAGTGAAAGGAATATTTACTATTGAAGACGATTTATATGAACAAATGACAAATGATTTGTCGAGATTGTTACTGGAGGATGGAATTGCATTAGCAAAAATCGACGAACGAAATGCAGCAAAATTGAATTATGAGGAGGCAAAGAGATTATTGAATGCTCTACCAGAGACAAGTATCGATGAAAATGAGAAAAAGGCCAGAATCGAAGAAATCAATGTACGAATAGATCAACTACTTGCTTAATTATAATTTTGTATTAGAAATTAGATTTGTATTCGACTAAAATAAATTATTTTTGTCTTTATACAGCAAATGTCTGATTAAAATTCAACCATTGTTTGATCGCTGTAATTGCGCCGATTGGTTGTGGGTCGTCAGGTGATAAAGGCAATGCACCATAGATTGATTTGATCAAAGCTCCATTATCAAATGCTTCAGCTAAATTTACGCGCATACTTTCCTGATCACGATAATTAAAAAGATAAGATTCACTGACAGCAAAATGGGATTGCGAAGGATCTATGGTGGTTATTTGGTGTTTCAGCTCGGTTAGATTGTATATCGCTGCTCCTCGATTATCCATTGTAAAACCTGGAATGGAATAAGAATTAACTGCTGTCCATATCGGTGGAACAGTTGTTTCGATACGAGATGGATCGATTGAAGCCATGGGAATAATATGTGTATAAATTCGTTCTTTAGGAATCTGATTTTCATAAGAAATTTGAGCCAAGATTTGCAAATAATTATGAATGATTTCATAACAAAGTAAATTAAACAGTTCATTTCGAGTGATATTTCGGTGTTGAGCTTCGTGAACTAATTTCTCTTCCGTCCATCCTTGCCAATAAAGTGAAGCATAGCCAAGTTGAGCACCAGCTTCCCATGATTTCATTGTAATATTTCTCGCACTTAAAGGCCATACAGCAACGGGTAAATCAGTTGGATCGATATGTCGATAGTTGAGAATACTTGTTTCCCATCCGATGTTAATTCCAGCAAATAGATACGATTGATTTTGATAGTTTAATTTTGTTAACCATTGGGCAAGAGGTTGAGCGATACTTTCATTGAATTGTTTGGACGAAAAATTAAGAAAGTTCGGCGAACCAATAGCTGGAAATGCGAACGAGGGTGAACACCAAGAACCCCAATTAAACCATGATCGTGGAATACGAGTTGGCAACTGTGTGGAATTCATTGGAAACTCAATCCATTCTCTCATAGTTTCATTGTGCCAATATTTCATTGCTGGTGCGTCATCTGTCGAGTTTTCTTGGTCCGCACCCCAACCATAGATCGGGTCGATGTGAATCAAAAGCGGAGTATTCGTTTTTTCAGCTAAATCAAAAGCAATTTCGAGTTCCGAACGCACAAACGCAATTGATCGTGTGAGAATTCTCATTTGTTGTTTCCCGTACGCATACATTCGATGAGCAGTTGAATTCACTTCTCCGAAAATACGTTTCAGCGCTGCAATATTTTCAGTTTGATTAGGTCCCGGACCTTCATCCGGACCTCCACCTTCGAAAATCACATATTGAACATTTCTCTGTGCATTTCCTTTCGTTATGAAACCTAAGAAAATAACAACGAAAGTTAGACAATTCATTTGATGACTAGAGATGCATTGTTTATTGAAATAGATGAGATAAGGTATCACATTGCACGAAACGAAGGTTTACAACATTGAGAAAAGTTTAATGATAACGAAGAAACTTCTTTGGAAGATTGCCAGACGTCTTATCAAGACGTATTTTCTTTAAATCAGTAGTTAATTTCAATTGAACGATTAAATGCAATTGCTCTTCTTCTAATTTATTTCTTAGTTTGTTTAATTCTTCTTGTCTTTTTAAAATACTTTGTAGTTTTTTCCTCAATTCAGTATTTTCATTTTGAATATTTATTGTTCGTTCGTAAAGATATTTTTCGACTTCCTTAGATTAAATGAATTTAGATCAGAGAGAAGATTTTTTGTGAGTAAAACTTACTAATTTTGCTTGTTCTTCGAATTCGGCGAGTTGAATCTCTTCGAATATTTGATTTTGTTCAACTTCTTTTCGAAAATCTGATTTAAAACGATCAATTTCATGAACTTGCTCAGCACGCATTTGCTTCACTTCATGTTCCAATAGTTTTATTTCATCACTTTGTTGTTCACGGATGATCTATAAACAAATCAACATATCTTCTTCTAATCTCTTCTCAATCTTTACTCTATATCCTTCCATATCATCCAATTCTCGTTGAGCATTCCGTAATAATTTCGATTTTTCGATCAATTGCATTTGTAATTCTAACCAAATCCATCCGAAACAAGATTTTGTTGTTCAATGCTTTACCTTTTTTCCTTTGAAGATACTTTTCCGTCATGTCGTCTCTACATTGATTGATATTTTCAATCTCTTCTTTATGATAATCACTTAGTGTCACCATTTGTGTCTCGCGAAGATTTTTCTTTTTCAAAATAAATTGTTTATATTCACTCTAGAATCGCATTTGATTTTTCCCTTGGTTTCATGACTCATTACGCTCTTTACCGTTTCTATTCGAAGTCGATGGGCTTCTTGATCGAGCCACTTGTGTTGTTCTTCGCTTTTCACATGTCAACTTAAATCAAATAGTTGATCAAAGTTTTTTTTACTCACGCTTTGTACACACGCGTCTTAAATTCTGTTAAATCGTGTTGTTTTTGTTCGAATCTGTGAGTATTTACTTGAGAGAGAAATTTGAGAACTTGGCAACAACTTACTTCGCTCGTAGAGCAACTTCTCGATCTGATGGAAGACGAATTTCATTGTCATTTTGATCAGGTTGTTTCGGTATCGATTTCAGCCTCTTACCCTTCGGTGCCATTCCAATTTTGTTTTCATCGATACTCAATATCGATTAGGGGCTACCATTCTTTCTCTGATCACTATAACAACATCAGAATAGATGTCGCTATGTATATTTAACAAAAAAACAACAATTATTCCAAAAAAAGATGGAGATTCATTGAAAATACTGAAAAAGGTAAGATGTTTTTTATTTATCCTCGTCGGTGTGTAAAGTGACTTTGGATCATGGAAATTATTGCATGGATTACATTCCCTATATGCTAAGTATACTTTTTGGGTACTATCACCTTCCTCGTACATTTAGCTTGAAATTTGTTTTTGTAGTTTGAAAACTGAGAAGAGTTTTTCAGGTCAAAATTTGAAAAAATAACACAAATTGCCCTCAAATTTTTTTTCATAATTGACGTCAATATGAAATCCAGAAAAAGAACATAATCTTGAAAAAAGTGTGCAAGAATATAACGTGACTCGAACCTATAAAAACAACTCATTTTCTTCGTATTTCCTTCAAAAACAACATTTTTGTCGAGGTTATACATCCAACCTCCAGCAGTTGTCTAATTGTTGTGCATTCATATGGAATGTCAAATTTTTCATCATATTTTCTTTCGATTATGTTTTCAGAAAAGCAATGTCACTACTCCGACGAGCTTTTCCTTTAACCTCATCCATTTTAGAAACAGTTCGATCTCTTTCTTCAATAAACCATCATTCGATACAATCGACGAACTTTTCCATCATGTCAACCACGCCAAAAAAACCCGACGCAACAACCGGCAGCCAAGGTGAACCCTTGCCGAGTAAAGAACCAACTTCAAGTGATAATGCCAATCGTCGTTATGAGATTATCGAACGTGGCCAATTGCATACATTGAGTTATCGTTGTTATTTTCGAGATACTCAAACGAATACAATCGTCTCGCCATTTCATGATATTCCACTTGTTAATGAAGATTATACGAAATCAAATGAAAATCAAAATGTAACTATTTATAATATGGTCGTTGAAGTTCCACGATGGACAAATGCGAAAATGGAAATTAACAAACAATTCAAAATGAATCCACTCGTCCAAGATGTGAAAAATGGTTCGTTGATTTTTCTCAGCGAATTAAAAAAGAAACTTTCTTTTTCTTTCTTTGCAGGTAAACCACGTTTTGTCCATAATGTCTTTCCTTATCATGGTTATTTATGGAATTATGGTGCATTGCCACAAACATGGGAAGATCCGAATCATGTTGATGAGGATACAAAAACCACTGGTGATAACGATCCAATCGATGTTTGTGAAATCGGTACAACTCTTCATGCAACTGGTTCGGTCATTCCAGTGAAAATCGTCGGTGTGCTTGGTTTAATTGACGAAGGAGAAACCGATTGGAAATTAATCGGTATTGATATCCGTGATAAACTTGCTTCACAAGTAAAAGTTCAATTTGTTGATTTTCAGAAAGAATAACTAGAAGATTTTATTTAGATTCACGATATCAATGATGTTGATAAACATCTTCCAGGTTTACTTGAAGCAACACTTCGTTGGTTTAAATATTATAAAGTTCCAACAGGTAAACCTCCAAATCAATTCGCACTTAATGAACAGTATGGTGATCGTGCTTATGCAAATCGCGTTATTGATGAAACAAGAAAATATTGGGAAAAATTAGCAAGTGGAGAAACAAAAGTTGAAGAAAAAGTTTGTGCAATCGCGAATACAACACTAAACAATCGTGGAACGATCAGCAAAGATGATGCCGAGAAGATTGTCGAAGCCGATGAGAAACATCAGAAAGAACCAGCAAAACTCGATGCTAGTATTCATCAATTATCTTATGTTAAAGACAATGAAGAAAGATCAAACAAAGAAAAAAAGTTTTAACTTAATAAATGATCGCCCTGCGATTGCTATTGACAATGAAACCTTCCGCTCCCAAACGAAACATAAATTTTTTGTTTTGTGTTAGTTTGATTTTCTCAAATAAATGTATGCACTATGAAATTCATCTGGACGTTTGTCTACATCTGATTTTCGCTGTAGGATTATGACACTGAATTCACTGGTTCAGTTGAATAAAATATCAAAAAATCTTTGGCATTTGTTGTTCAATCGACCAACGTATCATAATGCATTCAATACAGAATTTGCACAACAACTCATCGCTCGTTGCCAACAAATTCGTGCGTCGAAGGACATTCGATCAGCGGTGATTGTTTCGGGGCAAGGAAAGTCATTTTGTTCAGGCGCTGATCTGAAAGAACGTCAACATATCACAGAACCAAAACAATGGATGGAACAACATCACATTTTCGAACAAATGTTCAATTCGTTGGCACAATTGAAACTACCAACGATTGCGTGTGTTGAAGGATTTGCTTTGGGTAAAAATATAACTGCTTCAATGAAGTGAATGAATCCTTGATTTTCTTTAGCTGGTGGTTTTGAATTAGCACTAAATTGTGATATGATCGTTGCGTCGCGTTCTGCTTCATTTGGATTACCTGAAGTCACACGTGGGATTATGCCTGGTGGTGGTGGTACTCAGTTACTTGCTCGTCTCGTTGGACCGGCACGAGCGAAACAAATAGCTATTACTGGACGAAAACTGAACGCTCAAGAAGCATTCGACATGGGAATCGTGCAGATTTTAACTGAAGACGGTCAAGCATTGGAGAGAGGAATTGAATTGGGGATGACCATTGCAGCAAATGCACCGTTGGCAACGCAGGCGATTAAACAAGCGATTGATGAAGGATGGGGAAAGAGTACGGATGATGCCAAAGCAATTGAATTAACATATTATAAAGAATTAATCGATACGGAAGATCGTCATGAAGGTATTCGAGCATTCAATGAAAAACGAAAACCGCAATGGAAAGGAAATTGAAAAACAAGTTGTGAACTGAATTTCATTTTATTAGTCGTGAGCAGAAAATTTGCGTTAGTTTAACTTAAATGAAGAATATAATTTAAAGAAATTTTTATTTAATAAATATAGAGACGTTGATCATGTACTAATAGAGTTGAGAGTAGATAATACACAATACACAACGATTTGTAGTGGAGAGAACTACAGGGTTTCGTTTAAATTTTTCTTACAAATTTTATCTGTATTTATTCTTTATATTTACGAAAGATTTCGAAATCGACCGAAATGACAGCTCATAATTGGCCTAGTTGCCATTTCTAGAGATAGATGAAGATTTATTATCGTGCTGATTTGCTCTGATGAATGACTGATTAATGTTACTAATGGATCTATTGCTATTAGTAGGATTCTTGTACTTAAGAAAGATTTGTTCAATAACATAAGATAAGGGATCGAAATCCACCAGTTCATTATCCAACATGATCAATACAGCATGGTCGAAACGTAAGATCCTCTCGTTTTCATTATCTATCAGCTATCAGCTTTAATATCATTTTCAGACATTCTTTATATTCATAGACATGTCGGCGTCACATTTATTGAACAAAACGAATACAACATTTGTCTCAGCATTCCAATAAACACATTCATTTTCAGTCATTTGGGCAATGAAAACTAATGAGTAACCTAATTAGAGATCTATCTCATTTCATGTACTCTCTTGCGACATTCCTGAACTTTTAAAGTATCGTTTATCTTTTCATACAGTTCAGCAATTTTGTTATAAATCGTCGCTAAGCCTGAACGAGTGGGAGGGAGGAAGTTCCGCAGAATCGAAGCCGCTTTCGAGTAACTTTCACAAGCTCTTGAGTGCTTGCCGTCTTTTAAAAATGCGAAAGCGATGTTGTTGTGTGTAGTAGCTAAATCTGGATGATCTGGAGGAAGAGATTTTTGTTGAGTTTCAAGTGCTTTGTTGTAATAATATAGAGCTCCGGAATAGTCCCCTTTTTTGCAATACACTAAGCCAAAATTGTTGTACGTGATGGCAAAATCTGGATGTTCGAGAGAAAGAGAATTCTGTTGAATTTCAAGTGCTTTCTTATATTTTTCAAGAGATATTGAGTTATTGCCCATACTAAAGTAGGCAAAGCCGATGTTGTTGTATGTTATGGCTATATCCGGATGATTCGGAGGAACGAATTTCTGTTGAATTTCAAGTGCTTTGTTGTATGTTTCAAGAGCTTTTGAATAATCCTCTGTTTCGGAATATGATAAGCCAAGGTTATTGTACGTGTTGGCTAAATCTGGATGCTCTGGAGGAACGGACTTCTGTTGAATTGAAAGTGCTTTACGAAATTTTTCAAACGATATCGAATAGTTGCCCATAAGAGAGTAAATAAAACCGATGTTGTTGTACGTCATCGCTAAATTGGGATGAGTCTGACTGAGGAAGCTCTCTTGAACACCAAGGGCCAAATTATATTCTTCTATAGCTTTTTGATATTTGCCCAATTTGAGATGTACTGAACCAATGTTGTTGTACGTGATGGCTAAATCTGGATGCTTTAAAGAAAGAGTCTTCTGCTGAATCTCTAGCGCCTGCACGTAGCTTTCGTCAAGAGCTTTCGAATACTCGCCTTTATGATAATGGGCTAAGCCGATGTTGTTGTACGTGATGGCTATATCTGGATGTTCTTGTGGAAGAGATTTCTGTTGAACTTCAAGCGCTTTTTCGTAGTTTTCAATAGCTCGTTGATACTCCCCCAATTTGAAATGCGTTGAACCAATGTTGTTGCGCGTGATAGCTAAATGTGGATGGGTAGATGGCAGAGGCTTTTGAATTTCGAATGCTTTGTTGTAAAGTTCAAGAGCTTTTGAATAGTTACCCAAAAGTGTATGTAATAAGCCAAGATTGTTATAAGTCATTGCTAAGTTGCAATGCGTCGGAGAGAGAGATTTGTTCTGAATATTTATTGCTTTCTCACAGTTTTCAAGACCCTTTGAATATTCACCGGCATAGGCGTACGTTAAACCGAGATTGTCATACGTAATGGCTATATCCGGATGCATTGGTGGAAGAGATCTCAATTGAATTTCGAGTGCCTTCTTGTAGTTTTTAACAGCTATTGAATAGTTGCCTTTTTTCGAGAGAACAGAACCGATGTTGTTGTATGTAATTGCTATACTTGGATGGATGAACAGCAAAGACTTTTGTTGGATTCCCAGTGCCTCATTATAACTTTCGAAAGCTTTTGAATATTCGCCATTGCTGAAATGCGCTAAGCCAATGTTGTTGTACGTCGTTGCTAAACTGGAATGAGTTTGATTAAGGGACTTCTCTTGAATATCAAGTGCTAGCTTATAGTTTTCAATAGCTCTTTGATACTCCCCCAATTTGAGATGCGTTGAACCAATGTTGTTGTACGTAATAGCTAAATCTGGATGAACCGTAGGAAGAGATCGTTTTTGAATCTGAAGTGCCTCATTATACTCTTTGAGGCCTCTCGAATAGTCACACTTTTGGAGATACGCTGAACCGATATGATTATGAGTGATGCCAATATCTGGATGTGTTTGTGAAAGAGATTTCTGCTGAATTCGAAGAGCTTTGTTGTGATAATCGAGGGCGTTCGAAGGTTCGCCTATATCGTAATACACCACACCAATGTTGTTGAATGTTGTAGCTAAATCTGAATGGATTGGGGATAGGATTTTCGATTGCATGTCACTAGCTTGTTTGAAATTTCGAAGGGCTTCGGAGTAGTTTGCGTTGATATAGTACTGTAGTCCAGCTTGGGTGAATTTGACAACTAAATGTTAATATTCTGTAGAACTTCAGTCGCTCTATAAGAAAATGCTTAGGCTTATGGTTTCCAAAAATTTATTGAAGATTTGATGTTCTGTTGGGAAAATGTCTCTCATTATTTTCAAATACTAATGAACAATACACTTCTTTTCCTACGTATCAATGATTTGTTATGTCTAACTCTAATTAACAAAAACAATTATTTCGTAGATATCGAGCTATGATGTATATCTTACCCTCTTTGAGTTTTGATGTACGTTCATGATACTTCATTGATAGAATAATTACTAATGGAAGACTCAATACACTCAGAATAATAATGCTGATCACAATCCGCTGACGAATTTTATGTGATATTTTGAATGCTCGACCCTTGCTTCGAGATTGATCGACATCCTTTTTCGTTCGATTATGCGCGGAAAGCAATAAATTTCTCTGTGGTTCATTGTTGACAGAGACATTTGGAGAAGGACTCAAAGGTTCCATGCCGATCTGGAAATCAGATGCATCGGACGTTGGTTCTAAAACAAATGAATCTTTCTTTTTATGGAAATGATTGTCTAGTATTGTTACAAACTAGTATAAGCAATCTTGTCGTCCTCCTCTTCATTCTCCTCGTTGTCCTGCCACAGAATCTCTTGAATGGAGATATTGCGTTGGTTTTTTTTCGATTGCTTCCTTTGATATTCTGGAAAAGAGTACATGACAAAGTCTTAGTCAACATAAGGTTACACACAGACTCACCTTTCAATCGTTTCGCGGCGTCGTGACAGTGAATATTCATAAATGCTTCGATAAGATAATCACAATCTTGATTGGTTATCATAGTCTTTTGGAAGAGATGTTCAAGTATACGAAATGATCCACCAACGGAAGCATCTTCACGTAAAGTTTTCGGAACATCCTCGCCAAGAAGAAAATTCAATCGTTCTCGGTCTGTATTTGAAAGAAGATCCTGTATATTGATCAAAACAGCTCGAAACTCAAATGAGGCGGTCATAGCGCAAATGAAGTAGCGCTGACAAATGTTAATCTGAATTCAAAACATCGCACTACAACAAAGATAGGAAGCGGAACGAAAATAATAGAAGACGACGAATGATCATAAACAAATGTAGGTATTTTAGTAGAGAGTCGCTAATATGAAAGAAGAAAATGTCGAAAAACAAGATTCGTTATTAATTTTGTTCTCGTTCGGTGCAGAACCGATAGAAAAGGTAAATAACATGACTGAAGAAAGAATGATAGGAGAGGGGAACTCAGAAAAAAAGTAAGAATAGGTCAGAAGAGTCAATACTATTGATAAGATATAAAACAATTCTTTCATAGTAGTCTTGTACTGATCTGTGGAACATGCAGGCAACTATAAGGAATAGAAACAGACTTTTTTTACAAAAAAAAATCAAAAAGATATTATGGTTTCATTCTTTTTTAGAGACAAATATTTATTGATAATTGACGTCGCTCAGATTGAATCTAAACTAATTAATGAAGTTCATCATCGATTATACAGCAACGATCAATGTAGAAATTCGTTTAATTAAAGGAAACAACAGGTTAGACATGCAAGTTTTCTTGAAGATAGAAAAAAGGATCATAGATAAGATGCTCGATAAAATATGATCCAAATTCTGGTTGGTATTGCTGAGCAAAGATCGGAAGTGGATATGTATAACAGGATGGACAATTGAGGAAAATACTCCGAAGTGATTGATGCAAATTTTCGGAATAGTTTATGAAAATTTCTTCATCTATTTGCTGAGATTTGTGAATCAATTTCATAATTGAAAAATCAATAAATCGAACTGCGAATTGATCGTTTGGATTATTTAGCAAGAAAATATTCCCCACGTTGAGATCGAGATGAATCATTGACATTTGTTTTAACTGTAAAACGGAAAATAATATCGAATAGATCAAATTTTGAACAGCCGAAAGTGTTAATCGATTGGAGCTGGTCTGCAAATGCTTTCTGAGCGAAATTGCATTGTCTAATTTTTTGATAATTAGAAAAAATGTTTGTTCACTTTCATTTTGTTCAATTCTTTCATAAAAAGAGAAGTACGAGAGATTTAATGAGACAATCCTTGATGTTGGCATCAATTCCTGACAAAAATAACTTTTATAGAGAACATAAACTTCGACAGGAAACCAATTTTCAGTTACAATTCGTTGTCTTTGCTCAGTATTTATGAAATATTCATTATTTTTCGAATCAATTCTCGAGTAGCAAGTCGTTTTGTTTAGATTATTCAATTCTTCTATGTGAACATAATTCCAAACACTTTTAAATGATAAATATTTCACAATAACTGAAAGTTGCGTGTGATTAGTGAATTTTAAATAGCCATGATACGTCGAACTCATTGAGCCCGCTTCATTGCCAAGAATCTCACCTGTTATCACCAATGGAATTTGTTTTCTCTTGGCATAACTCTTGATTTTCTTTACAATTCCATCTGAATGAAAGTTTTTCTTCACTGGATTCACCATACTATTCACATAGAGAAAATATATTATTAAAACGAATAATAAAGACAAGAAGAGCATTGAAAAAACAAATACAAATAAATACTTGACGCGCATTTTCGTTTTTCGTCGAATTTCACTTTGGTTCAACAAAGATCGCCTCTACTTTCTTAAAGACGACGATGGGCGTGAGGTGGGTGTGCGGGGTAAGGGTGTAAGTAGCGGTGAGTCGCCAGGTTTCTGATTCTGAGCGAAAACGAAGATGAAAATATTAGGGATAACTGTTTGGGACATTTTCCATGGATAGCTGAGTTCCTGTTAAATTGAGCAAAAGAAACTGTTGTGAGAGAAACGCTAATGTTAGATGTATCGACGCGATGGGTTTCCCTGTCTTCTTCTTCCATGTATACGCATAAAGAAGAAAGTTTGTTCGCTATGCGTTTAGTACCTGTAATAGCTGTCGTCACCAAGCGTCCATCGACACTTTCTTTGACCCAGAGGGAGGTTGACATTGACATCTACTTTGTTGCGGAAAAAGTGAACCACGCGCTTGCTAGCAGCATGCTGTGCAACTGACGAATAAGATAGCACGATTCCATAGATGGAGAAAATTGGTAGCGAAGGCCTTCTGAGCGCTCGTACCCAAAATTCCACATGTTTTCTCTTTCTGTGCCAATTCTGTAATTCTTGAGGATATGTGTGGGTACCAAAAGAGTGGATTTTAGAATATTTGAATGCTCAAATAATTGAAAAATTCAACTATTCAAGTGTAATAGTTGAATACTCGAATAGATAGTTGAATTCAAGTTTCGAGTTTGACACTACTGCATATATAAGCAAGGGAAGGTACATCAACGAATGAGAGCGAAAGAAGAAGAAAATGACCTTTGTGGAACTCGAATCCACACTTTCTGCTATCCGGGTAGATGTCGTAAGCTAGTTAGACTAGAAAAACCAACCCAATCTCAATATAGCGTTAGTCAGAGAAAATCATCACTAGCGCTAACATGTGAATGGTTTATATTAATTCACAATATTTGATGTTAATCATTTACTCATAATATTTGCTCTTGATCAATCATGCACGGGAAAGAAAAATTGTTAGAAAAATGCATATTGAAGAAAAAACTTCTATTCTTTCTGGCATTCCTAAAAATGATTTTTCATTTACACGTAGTTCAGTTTGTTTATAAACAAATTAACAGCATACTAATCGAGAACCTATCATATGATCGATCTATTCTACATTATCCATTAGATTAAATATATAAACATGTATTCTATACGTTGGCGTTCTGATAATAATCTCTTCTTATCTTCTTCTTTGTTTGTAATAGTCTTATAATATTTATTCAGATGTTTTTGTAGGAGAATGACCTCAAGTTTTACTTGAATGAAATAATTATGATTTCGGCAAATGCATCTTGGATATTTCATTCAAATCCAAAATTGGCTACTTATCATTGGACATCAAAGGGTTGTGCAATAACAGATGAAGACGGTAGTTTTTCATTCAGTAAGATAAACTGTGAAATTGATTTTGTAATAAATCACATTATCTGTTCAGAAAATCCGCATCGAAATTTTGTACAATTTTCAATAGATAAACAAGCGCATCCAAAACGACATCTCATATATGCATTGATTTCTATGATATTATGTTTTCCTACTGGTAAAGTGAGATTATTGTGAAACGAAAGCAGCATTATTATCTTTTTTTTCTTTCTTGATCATATGTTAGGTATTGGAGCACTTTATTATGCTTCGAAATCTTGGAAATGTGAGACTAATGGTCATTATGAACGAGCATTGATTTACTCAACTCGGTCATTTTCATGGTCGATAGCAACATGTGTCATTGCACTTTTCACCTATTTAACTATCGGTCTTTTTATTGTTATCAGTAAATCTTATCGTCATTAATCAAGAATTTCATGTAAATAAATGAAAAAGCATTGTCTCCTATATATCATATAATAAAAACGATCTAGATTGATTAATTTCTTTTAAGGTTAAAAATAAGTATCTAGCTAGGAGAAAACGCAAAGAACGATTAATGTAATAGAATGTCTTTTTGATTATCAGAGGAAAATATCATTTTATTCCACTGTTATACGGAATGTTCGGATTTGCATTGGATTTAAAGCAATATTCACATCTTCGATTGAGATTTTTTTATAAAAAAATCGAAAACAAAAAAAAAGGAGATGACCAAGAAAGTTTTTCTTTAAGAACCTACACGGTGGCTCCGGTTTTGATGATTTATTATCTTTAGTTATCCATTCTAACCGTTCCATATCGTTTAAAGCTAAATTACCTGTTAATGTTAATTCAACAATATCAGTAATAACGCCTTTCGTTTGGAATAATTTTTGTAAACCAAATATAGCTGCTTGAGAATAAGTTTCATCTTCATTGATTTCAAAATAATGTTCAATACGAATAAGATATTGATTTGTGTCAATTTCATCAGTTGCCTATTTCGACTTATATTATAAGTCGACCCTCGAAAGACTAATATCAATTCGAATATAAGTAGATGTCTATATCAGTCTTACAGTAAACGGCTAGATAGGAATAAAAATAGATTTAATTTCGCTTATACCTATACCATCACCCTCAAGGTGGTATAATAGTTGAATACTCGAACAGATAGTTCAATAGTTGAATTCAAGTTTGACACTACTGTCATCGCTCAGCTCAAGTGCTAATCAATACTGTCTTCATTGATTCCTTGACTTGAATTTCGCAGAAAATCGGGTGTAAACTGTCGATAACTATCATAACTCAATCCTGTACTCTTTCAATAGTTAACTGATGCCTTGCTTATGTTTTTTTCCTTCCTTTTGACAGTTACGACCTTTTTTTTTTCTTCGTATCGTGTCTATACATGTGAGCTTTTACTTCATTGACAAATATCGTACTTGTTTTTCTTCTTCAGATTCAAGGATATCATCGTGCAATCGAAATGCAAACAGGCAAGGTTATCGATCATATTGTTAAATGGCTAAAAGATTATGCGGTTAAAAATGCCGGAACTAAAGGTTTTACTGTCGGAATTTCGAATGGAATTGATTCGTCTGTTGTCTCAACGTTATGTGCTCGCACTGGTTTACCTTTACTTGCTGTTGAATTACCTATTCATCATTCCAAACCCAAGGAAAAAGGTCAGTCAGTTCACATCGACTGGCTGAAGCAAAACTTCGGAAATGGACAAGTTCGATCATTGAATGTGAATTTAACTGATTCGTATAAAAAAGTAAAAGAAACATTCACAAACCTACAAGAAAACGAGACAACAGAATTAGCATTAGCAAATGTACAATCGCGTTTACGAATGGTAAAATGAAAATATTCTTTTTCTAAATTTCTCATCATTTACAATTATATAGTTAAGTCTCTATTACTTTGCTCAAGTCAATGGATACCTTGTTGCTGGAACGGGAAATAAAGTCGAAGATTTCGGCATCGGTTTCTTTACGAAATATGGTAATTTGATTTGAATGATTTTTCTTCGTATTAATTTGAATCGAACAGGTGATGGTGGTGTTGATATAAGTCCTATTGGTGATTTATTGAAATCCGAGGTTCGATTAATTGCACGTGATTTAGGAATTGATCGTTCAATAATTGAAGCTGCACCGACGGATGGTCTTTTTGGAGATATGCGAACTGATGAAGCACAGATTGGTGCAACTTATGATGAACTTGAATGGGCAATGGCACATGCGAACAAAGATGAACAATCAATGAATGAAAGACAAAGAGAAGTGACGAAAATTTATGTACAACGACATCGAGCAAATCTACATAAAATGAAAGAAATTCCTGTTTGTCGGATTCCAAAAGAATTCAAACAAGAAAAATCATAATTTTTGTTATTTAGATAAATTTATTCCAACATTTGTTTTTCAAATTGTGATATCTGAACAATTTTTCTTCAAATTTCTTATTCATATATACAAATCATCATCGAGCAAACAACGTTTTTAACCTGTTCCGATGACATTCATAGATAAAACCATTAATTAACTTTCAATTAGATAGAAATACACGTTTTCCTCGGTGATTCATATCTCGTCAAAGCATATTCACATGCAAAACATCATGACATGCTTTCACGTTAAGCTCGACCGGAAAAATCATACGAATACAAGGACAAACCAAAAACGAAAGGTTAAAATAACCGAAGATTGTTCTGTTCCCTCGTAATAAACTACATTTATTTCAAACATAACAATATACAACAATAAATCATTACAATTTAAGATTTCATCGACAGATCAAAGCCTGAATCGATCGTCATTTTCAATGAGAAGTTGTTGTTTGTTACATCTTCTAAAGTATTCTTTGGTAGTTGAAGTTGCCTTAGTTGATTTTCGATAAACGATGATCCACTTTCCAATTGACAAATTTGTTTGAGGAGATTCTTTTCTGAGTAATGTCGTTTGTCTTTCATTTTTCTACTTATTAATCGATTTCGATCACGTTTGAACATATCATCGCCAAATATTAATAAATGTTTCGATCGATGATTTATCGTCATTGCGCGTCGGTTGATTCCAATTCGAACTGCTTCATTTTCGCATCTCTTCGCCACTTTCATTGACGAATCTTGTACAGTTGAAGACAATATATCATCAGAATATAAATACGAAAGATCGTTCTTAAACATGTTGTTTGCGTTTCCAATCAGGTCGTTACGTTTAACTGTATGAAATGAAAAAGAAACGTATGCGAGTATTTATATATCTATGAAGTATCCTTCAAAAAGTCACCTTGATCGACATGGCGAAATTATCAAATGATTTGATCAGTCATCGTAATCACTGACGTAAAGTGATTTTAATTAAAAGGATAAAGGTAATGATTTGAAACAAAAGACCTTGCACAAATGATAATTGGATTTGCGAAAAATAAAATACAAAGCTGTGCATCGATATTTGTTTTCCATTGTTTGATTTATTGAAACAAAGAAAAATTTCGAAAAGACGTGCAAAACGAAAATATTCATATGAAATGAGATTAGGTATATAAAAGAAGGAAAATGCGAGACTCTAGTTGTTCTACTGAGAAAACCAAGGTGACATTTTGTGCAACAGCAGAAAAATAGTGTTTTTTTTATCACAATAAAATGCTGTTCTGTTCCAAATTGATCGTTCGTGTTTACAACGGCATTTGAGTAAATAAATACGAAACTGATTCACCATTATGAGTTCGACGAATTGCTTCCGAAAACATCATTGAAACATCGATTACCTAAATTTGTAAAATAGTCACTTGTCAATTCTTCTTCTTTTTCTTAACAATAACATGTCTTTTTCATACAGCTCTGACATCGGATCGTTTCGTTCGTATGTCTTTTCCACCCTCGCATTCTTCTGACTCAGTGACATTCATTCGCATTAATGACAGCACCATTTGCTGTAGTTCGATAGCCTGAAGACGAGATCTTTTGACGAAATAACTGTAAATTCTAGTTATGAAACAACATCGTTATGGACATGAAGATGTATCGATAGAAAGACAAAAAACAAAACGAGTACATGTCACGTCTGCCGTTTTCTTCTTTCTCTAACTGCGTAATTATATTGGCTTATACAAGAAAGCAAAAGACGATGTGTTTACGATCGATATCCAACTGCGTAAAAAAACAATTTATCTCGATAAGAAAACGCATGTGATAAAGCATCGACAGATGAACGGTTTTTACCTGAATTTTGCTCGAATTTTTCATATTTTCTTCTTGTGGAATCGTGTTCGTTACAACCACGGCTTCGAATGGAGATTTATTAATCCTTTCTATAGCCGGGCCACTAAATATTCCATGACTACAAATCGCGTAAACTTTACTTGCACCTGCACTCAATAATCTATCATTAAACGAGAAAAACAAACACATTTCACATCATCAAAATTCTTTGTCGTTACTTTTGTGATGCACATTCAAATGTTCCACATGTATCTACGGATATTTTCATAAGAAACATATACGAATCGAGAATGTGCACTTTACATACCAGCCATGTCGTCAACGAGAATAGCAATACGATTGGTGACATCACCAACCAGCACCATTGAATCAATTTCGTTCGCTCGTTTTCGCTCTTTATGAATCAAGGCAAAATCAATATTCAATCGATCAGCAATTGCTGTCACACTGAACACGAATAGCAATAGTTGTCAAAGAAAGAAAAAAAAAACTCTCATCATTAATGTACCGTTTAGCACCTAAATGATACAGAACACATGTCGAGAAGATAGCCATAAAGAACTGATTTACCTCCAGCATCCGGACTGACAATAACAGCATTTTTATGATCTGGAATATGTAAAGAAATCCATCGAATAACAGCCGGTTCCGCGAAAAGATTATCAACAGGAATATCGAAAAATCCCTAAAAAAGCCGCTTTAATTAAAGCCTAAATTTTACCTCGTGTTTGTTTTCTTTACTTGAATTTGTGATGCATGTAAATCCATTGTGATGATATGGTCAGCACCAGCAACACTCAACATATTGGCGACGAGTTTCGCTGAGATTGGTGCTCGACTCTAGAATTCCAATGAAGACACGATGATCAACGTTCATTTCAACTGTCTTACTTTATCTTTTCGATCTTGTCGTGCATAAGGAAAACATGGAATGACGGCAGTGACTCGTGATGCTGAAGCTATTTTACATGCATTGATCATAATCAATAATTCCATAAGATTATCATTGATTTCTCCACAACCACTTTGAACAATAAAAACATCTTCACCACGTACAGATTCATTGATTTCCACACTTTAAACAAAAGTCAGAAGGGCAGTTTGAACAACTTTGTTTACCTTGTTTCTCGATTACTAAATTTCTTTGTTATGACTCTTCCTGGCTCGAGACCGAGTCGAGCACAGATCAATTGTGTCAGTTCCGGATGAGATGATCCACCAAATACTTTGATATTCGGCATCCTTGAAACTAATGATGGACGATGTTCTAAAATACTTGATAAGTTTGTATAAGAACCTTGACTGCAGTTCGAATCTGTTCGATTTTTCAAATAATGTTCATCTGGATGAAGCAATGCATTATCATCTAAAATATTTCAATGAAAAAAAAAACAATTTCTCATTGACTGCCGATATGTTTTTCATTGGGGAAAGAACATCATGCTACAATGCAACGGGAAGAAGGCAAAACACAGGTGAATAGTTGCCCTACTTACGTAAATGATGATTTTCTTCCATTTTCGTAATGAGATATTATCGATAATGGTAGTAATAGTGGTACCGATCTTGATAAAGAGAAAAAAGAACGAGAAGGAAAAACACGTTTCTTTTAATCTTGATATTATTTCGTTTATTTTCTCTTTCTTCTCTTCTCTTTAGAAATTCCGAATCCGTCATCTGATCAGCCTAATGGAAAGAAAAGCTACAATAGACGATGAATGGAAAAAAGAACACTGCATGAACTTTTCCTTTATTTTCAATATCCATTTCCTCTCTTCTTCCCCTCATTTACTATTCAATGAGTAAATATCATGTAGTACTCACCTCTCAACAACAAAACAGTTTTCTTTCTTGTTATTGTTTTCCTCCGCGATTTCGACAAGAATAAATAGATCAAAAGACTTTGGATATAAAGACAACAGCAAAATATTGATTCTGTTGCTTTCTTACGAGAGAAAAGATATTCGAACAGGAGAAAAATATTACCGACCATAATAGACGACAAAAGTCACATCGTTATGTATATTCCTGTACGATGTTATTATTGGCAATGCTAACATCGAGTTGGCGTTCTCGCTACCGAAAGATAAGTTACGTACGTTGAAATAAACAAGAGTATCTTAATTATCCTCTGCTGTGGAGCGAAACAAAATGATGATGTGAAATTAATAAGCTACCTTTTTCATCTAAACTCGATACTTCTTTAGCAAATGGACCATATAAAAGGCTATGACGACCGACCTTGAACGATGTACCCATTAATCATAAGATTCTCGATGGGAGAGAGAAAAAAATCGTACCTCTTGATCACGTTTTTTCAAGCGAGTAAGAGTTGAAAATACCAGTCATAATCAAGAAAAATGTATCATACCACTCGTTCATTACATCGGAGGATTTATGAATAGATGTCGCTATTGAATGCATTCAATGATACTCAACGTATCTTCATTCGTTGGCTATTTCGACGACTGTGTCCTCATACATTGAAGATCATCTCCACATTAGATTCTCACATCATCACTACTTTTCGCGTCTCACAACAGAAATTGATTTCATCTTAATAAGATTTACCGAGAAAACCATCGTGCAACTAGACGACATCTTTCATCAAATTCAAACGCATGTACATACCATTCTCAGCTTGGCTGATGACATTGATTAATGTTTAGTAAAGAAGAGAAGTGTTTATTCTTTGAACTCAATGAATAATACAACCGAATTGAGTACCTGTTCAAATCAATACCATGAACGAAGCAAAGATGTACTAACAACCAGAGAAAAACGTGCTATGTATATGGTTCAATTGCGAGGCGAAAGAGATTCCGAATATCGTCGAATTGAACGTGAAAATAACGCTCGTGCTATGCGAAGAAAACGTTTGGAGGATCCACTTTATCGGGAAAACGAACGACAACGAAATCGTGCACATATGGCGACAATTCGTCGAGAAAATTCACTCTATCGTCAACAAGAACACTTGAAAAATCGTCATCGGATGGCATCAAAACGTCACTCATTACCACAATCAGCTGGAACCAATTCCATCTACAAAACATTAGAAAACAATTTACAATCATCACACATTTCATTCATTCCATATCAAACACATTTCGAAATCTCAACTGAACCAAAGCAACGAATTGAATACAAATTTCTCCAGCATATTGATGTATTCTGTCGACAAAATGATATCACTTCTCATTCAGATAATGACACTCCAAGTTAATTTTTATACAAAAGCTTTTCATACAGAAATTTCATTTGAAAATCAGTAAAGAAAAACCATTTGAGAGTCCAATAGCCAAGTTTTGAATAAAATATTTATTGAAAATTTTCAAAGCAATATGTATTTAATACAGATCAATAACCATTAAAAGTAACAAAACAAAAAGAATTTTAAAATAAAGTCAAATTTCAATGAGATTAGTCCGTTTAAAAAAAAACAGATCAAACATTGTTAAGTAACTGCCAGTGTTAATGAACGATATGGATTACTTGCTGAGTTCTGAAAGCCACCGTCAGCATAGGGATCATCAAATAACAAAGCTTCATCAGGATTTTCACTTAAATATGCGTTTGATGCATCTGGTTGACGATATTGTCCCAATGAAGAATTGTTATTCGAAATTGAAAAGAAGTTAAATCGACCGCGTTTGTTCAAACCGATTGCGCGAAGGAGATTGTTAAAGCGATTGTTTGTATTTTCAGAAGAATCCGATGGATTCGATGATATATGACGATGATGCTGATGATTTAATCGAGTATAGACAATTAGCATTGTGACGAGTAATACAATTGTTAAAAGACACGCAAGAAATATCAGAAGAATAGTTCGACCCGTACGATGGGTTGGCTCAACATTATCTAAACACATTCGAATGAGAAAGATCACGGGAGTTTATGTAATTTGGTTTTACTTTTTATTTCAAAACATTGATTATTTTTCTGTTCGAAATTCATTAAACATTTTGTACAATTTGGAGCATCGATTTGACCCCCGGGACATGGCTTAACTAAATAAAACGAGATGACAATCGATTTCAGTTGAAGTATGACATACTTGTCGATAGATTAGCTGTCGTTGTTGCTCCCAAAGTAGTTGATAAAGTTTCGTCTTAAGGAGAAAATGACGTCAATAAGAATAAGAAAAATTCAAGAAAATTACTTTCAGCAAAACAATAACCGACAAAAAGAAATGAAACAGCAAAGAGATTCTTGAAAAACACGATTCTGTGCATTTTTTGTTTGACGCGACTTGTTATATACTATTATTGATCATAACAACAAATGACAATAAGAGAAAAAAAACATGACGGTGAATAATGAGAAACATACAAAATGATTCATGAGTTTCTGAGCTCATAATATACATTAACACAAGTGACATCTATCAGATGTCGTTGCACGATTTATGTTCTTGTAAAAACTTTCAAAATGATTCAACATAATATCTCCAGGATTTCTGAACAGTTGAGGATTCCGATGTATTTCGCTTCGCGCTCTCACGTCATATGAGTGTTCAATCTAAGAGATATTAAACAACAATACCACAACATTCCCATGTTAAAACGATCATGGATGAGCATTGCTATCGTCTTCATAAAACTTTCAGAATGCGAAAAAACCAAAAATGAATAGTAGCTGTTCCCTAAAATCACTCTTCTTTGCCGATTACTGTACTGTCAAAGATGATTCGATCTATTCTTTTTTTCTAAGTGTATCGCGGTGTACTTTCGCACGTAAGTAAAAAATAGTCAGGTACAAATAAATAGCGATTACTGATGTACCATAGTTCTATGCATATGAATATAACAAATATTATTCTCTCCACAATAAGCATCTGATTATCAATATAACCGCGTGATTGAAAAAATATTTTTTGTTTCTCGATTCAAAATATACAGTCATCCTAGGGTGAGTTGGCATGAAATAAACACTATTGCATCAAATTCGCCTCTTTTTGCCCTCAGTATCGGACCATCGCACGCAATATAATGTGTATAAATACCTGTCCTAAGTGTCATTTATACAATATTTTGTCTCCATTTCATAGCAAGGTATTTTGTGATTATATCTGTTATTTAGATTCAATAATCTTTTCCATTTAGCATTCACGAAAATGAATTCATCAATTCTGGCTTTCGCCCTTCTTGCCTTTATGGTGATCAGCCAAAGCAATGCACGGTTAACCAGACAAGACTTCTTCGCAGAAAAACGAGGTATTTTCAGCTCGACAATAAAACTGTTCTCATCATCATTGAATTAACAATCGTATTTTCTATTCCAAATGTACCAACGCAAAGCAGATGTACAAACATTATTAGCGGCTACGATGCGTCAGGTGGCGATATAGATGGTATTAATCCAGGATACGTTCTCAGTGCTGATGCTTGTGCTGCATTATGCGAATCGATTTCTGTTTGTAATCACTGGACATTTCACACAGACAGTGGCCAATGTTGTCTCAAGAATAAATCATCAGAAATCCGAGCCCATTCTGGTATGTATTCAGGCAATTGTACCAAGTCGAAATAAACTTCTGTTCACTGGCATAAGGACGCCGTAACTATATGACTTTGATTAGATCCAAATAAATCAATCTCTTAGTTTCACTAAACTAACCTCTAGCGACTAATATTCAATTTTTTGAGTGTTTCCTTTTTCAGTGCTATTTTCTCTGTACTATCAATAAACTTACCAAGGTTATTGAAAGTCAATTCTTTTCTCAATGCGGAGAAACAAAGACGAAATTGTAAGACAAAAACATGTGTGAATAAAGTGCATTCGCAGGAGAAATACAGTACAGATCAAAGTCACAGAAAAGATCTTGAGGATGAGATAGTTGTAATACAGTAAAACGGTGAAAGGTAAGAGAATTGCAACAAATCGAATCGTATCTATAATAAGAGTAGAAATGATCCAAAAAGAGACGAACAATTCGATAAACTATTCAAACATGATTATGAAAGAAAAATCAAATATATCAATTGCCAACAAAGAATAAAGCTCTGGACAAATGAAAAAAAGATAGATATCCTGAATTAGTAGCTGCAATTTGACTAAATATCATAATCAATATAAAATATTACGCCTCACAAATGAAGGAAAATAAATCAGTAGTAATTAATCGTATATCACATACAAATGATCTTAAGAAAAATTTATTAAAAATACTCTAAATTTAATTTTTCTAAAATATGTTTTTTCGATCTGTATAAAAAATTCTTTTTCGAGATTTTCTCAGCAATTCGTTTCCGATCGAATCATTGTTTCACTTATCGCAAACGGTTCGTTTTTGATCGGTGATAATGCTGGAGTTGAATAAGCACTTGTCTTATCATCACATGTCGAAAGTGGAGATGAACATTGTTTCTTCTTTTGTTGTGATCTCGATTGAGTTCCCATTTCATTCACTATTTGATTTGTCGTCGCTGTTGTTGTTGTTAATGAACGATAACTGTTCGAAAGAAGAGTCAACGATGGTTCATCAAGAATACCATGATCATCACCATCAATCTAAATCAATCATTTCATTTCGTTTCGTTTCATCAACAGATTCACGACGATGAGTTAAACTCACTTTAGAATTCAATTCAACTGTTTCAAATACACGATGTTCTTCAGCATGTAAAAGAGCAGATGGAAAATCAACTGTTGACAAAGATCCTGTCTCGATCGATGTGCTCTTCTGTTGTGCTTGTGCTCGTGACAATTGAGTATTTTCATGTGAGATGGTTGTCAGTAGTTGTCCACTCTCATAATCAGGTATTCGCATCGATGCCGATGAAAGTATCGCTGTTGATTCTTCATTCGAGTTCACTTGATGATTTATGATGAGTCGCTGCATGGCACGTTGATTCTGTTCGATCAAGTAAGATAATGTATCGTGATGTCTATTCGATGCTGATGATAATGAAGAGTTGGATGTGATCGATGTTTCGAATGTATTTGGAGAATTCGTCAAATGATGAATATCACTGATCACACTACCTTGATGATCGCTTTTCTCTTGTAAAACATGATTTAATGGTAAATCTGATGATGATGAATGTGAACAATGTGATGGAGTGGAGATGGGCTGACCACTGGCAAGAACTTGTTTGGCAAGAGAAGAACGATATGTTATAGAAATGAGAGTGAGAATGAAGATGCTTTATTCGAAGTTGAACACTTCGTTCTTTTTCGATCTGACAGGTCTATTTCATGAAGGTTTATATGTATATGTGAATAGGACTTTTGATGAATGACGAAATGTTCGTCGACGTTCAGTTTCATTTTGAATTAATTTTTCTTGTTGACATGTCAAAATGACTGAAGCTTTCATCTGAAGATGTAAACGATTGAAATATCTTCGTTACCAAAAAGTAGACTTCTAAGGAGGTTTACTGTCAAGGGTTTTCTCATAAGTGTTAGTGACATCTATTATGAAGAAATCAAGGTAAGTTTATTCATGAGAGAAGTTGAACTTCTGATTTTTTTTATTCGTATAAAATGATATGAGGTGAATAAATTCAAATGAACGCTGTCTATCGCTCTCAAGATGCTGTGATATTGATTTGACTCTTCATATTGAAAGCATTGAGATTGTGAAAAGCTTTGTTCGACATGTGTCGACAACTATGTGAATCTGTTATATAGACATTCGACGAAAGATTGCTCGTTAGATGTGACCAATGGTAGAATTAATTGTATATCGACGACGGAGAAGTAAAAATCTCCTCGTATTTGTATTCTTTAGTAAAGATGTTACCTTTGATATCGTTCTATCAATCTTCTTCATTTTCTTTACGTTTTCTGTCAACTCAATCATATTATACATCTATTATCCAACGTTATTCATCATCAATCCGTCCACCTAGACCGCCATTTTCACCTTCAGCAAAGAAAAAACGTATTAATTAATAATTTACGCAAAAGTAAAACTCATTCGAATTTTTTCAGTAGACAATGCCACACAAAATTTCGATTCATTGATTGATTTCCGACGAGAACAAGCCCGACGAACGGTGCTGATTCATGTAAATTCTTCCCTTCCTTTTCCAACCTTTCATCTACTTTCCTTAAACTTTAGCTTGGTCGATCTCATTCCGAATCCGAACTATACAAATTATGTTCACGTGTTGGTCAAATTTCGAATATGACACTTTATTCCGCAAATAAAAAAGTTTGTTCATACAATCATATATTAACCATCGAACGTAATTAACTCTTTTTAGGAATGTGCGTTACTGGAATTCTCGAACGAACAAAGTGTCCAAAAATTATTGAATATCACGAGTCATTTCACGAATGAAAATCGTTTACCGTGTGCGTCGCGAAATTTGTATTTTGCAGTATGTGATTGAAATCTAACAAAAAACTTCTTCATCTCATGTATAGTCTCAACTAACTGGTTCACGATTAAAACATCATTCGTTTGGTCGTGAAGTTCAACAACCGGATGATTCAGTTCTCGATAAAGCTTTAGCTGATATTCGTAACGTAAGGTTTGCAGGAACAGAAGAATGCAGTTTTTTCAATTTAAATCGTGTGATCTTCTTTAAATTAGTGATCAAATTCGTCATTTTTGGCAGAAAACCAAACTAACTGAACTGGATACAAGACTTCGATTCTTTGTAGCATCACTCGTCGAAGGTAAAAGGACGAAAATGCTTTGTATGCGGAAAGCAGTGTGACTAATTCTTTGTAGAAGCATTTGGGAGTATTTTTGTTGATACTGTTTGTCTTCCATTTGGTTCATCGATAACAACATTTGGTAAATCTCGGTGTGATTTGGATATGTTATTAACATTCGAAGATTTCCGAGAGAAAAATGTAAGAATTCTTCGAATGGTTTTCTCCATTATGAACGATTGGATTTATAGCAAATCAAATCAGATGGGAAAATACCACAATTACGCTTTCTGACTAAACGAAGTTATTTAAATGATCGATTCCAAGCGCAAGCGTATCTAAAAGTATATTATTCAGCTATTGTTCGATTATAATATCTGCATTGATTTAGATTCTTGCTGATACATTGAAACATTTCATGGCTGAATGTACGAGTGTGCAAATAATTCTTCCAGCTCGTGTACCAATCGTACGTTTTCAACATCGATTATCTGATCTTCAATGTGATGTCTCAATGAGTGAATTCAAGTAAGATTTTTACAGTCAAAGATCCCGTTATTTAAGCAAACGAATGTTTTATAGATCGTCGTATTATATGTCAAAACTATTGTGGAGTTTGAGCACAATTGATAATCGTGTTTCGCCGCTTGTTTTTGCCATTCGTCGATGGGCACGTGAAGCTTCAATAACACAAAGTACTCCCGGACCATGGTTCTCCAATTTTCAAATGACATTACTTGTGCTCTTCTATCTACAATCAATTGAAATCTTACCAAAACTGAATTATGTCAATGAGCAGTCAAACGTGTCAATACCACAAGATTCGAATCCATTGAATAGTATATTTGAATTGAAAATCAAAATAAATCTTTTATGATCTTCTTTAGATGATCTTCGTGATGATTTGATCTTAATAAATGAACTTAATAACATTCATCAGGTGCAAATGAAGAAAGTCAATAACAGTTCATTGGGTAATAGTTTTATATAATTTCATATAAAGCTGCTTTTTGTACTCGATTTTAGCTGTTCTACTCAAGGAATTCTTTTCATTTTATGAGAAATTTGACTTTGAATCATCATTGATCACATTAATCGATCGTAAAGATTTAGCGAAATCATCATTATTTCAAGCCGGTAAAGATAAAGAGTGGCCAATTTACATTGAGAATCCACTTGTGCCATCAATGAATGCGTCAAAAAATCTCGTTGAATCGGAAGGTGAACGTTTTCGTCAAACCTGTGCGAAAGCATCACAAATCCTATCCGATCCATCGAAAAATCTTCTCTCGTTATTCGAAGAATGTCGTCAAACATTACCCGATGATCTTATTGCACGTGCATATCCTGCACCCATATCGATCATGCCCGATCTACAAACAGATATTGAGCACGAAGAATTCAATGATCATTCTCAACAGGAAATAAGTCAATCATGAATTATCCGTTGTTTTTTGTTTCTGTTATTGAATTAGAGAAAAAGAAATGCGCAACTTTGTTATTCATAGGAAATGTTTCTGTTGAGTTTTCTGTTCTTTTTCTAGATTATGCGATCAGTACATTCGACTAATCATACATCGAAACATCGGCGTCGTTTTACAACCGAAACGTTATTTCGAGTGTTGAATCAAACGACTCGTTTAGAAGAATATCGAACGTTTTCAACACCTAATGAACATGATCAAACAAATTCTTGTGCAAATGGCCATTTGATTGAAAATGATCTTCGTCATCTATGGGAACTTTTATCTCAAATGATTCGAAAGAGACTTCTCAATCACGAACCATGTTTGTTACCTGAACTTGGTGCTTTTGTTCTTATCGATTATCCATCAAATGATAATCCAAATCTCCAATTGAAAGAACCATTTTTTGTATTAGATACAACGTTCGCTCGTCGTCATCGTTTATCACGAATTAAAAAACCGAATCTTTCCTCGGCACTTTCTCTGTCTCTTCAAGCAAATGGAAATTCAACACATATCGAACCCAATACAACTTTATCATCGTTTAATATGCAAACATTGGATTATATTTCATTACAAAATCAATCAGGTTTATCACGTGAACAATTGATGAGCGCTATTGCACATATCTTTGCCATAATTGATAAAGAAATCAATCCGCATAGTTTTTGTGATTTGGAATTTCCTCAATTGGGACATTTTAAGATTTTATCCGGTCTAGCGACGTTTGAATTTAGTGAAACATTTGTAAACGAATTTAAACTAACATTTGTCAAAAATGAATCAACATCACCAACTGACCAATGAGATCGAAGACATTTTGCATGTCCGGTGATTCTATTTTTTGTTCGCGTTCGTTTTTCTGTTCTTCTTTTTTCGTTGTCTTTGTTGTGTTTATGATATTATTTTCAGTGTTGTGTCAGATTTTGTCGTTTTGTTTCTTCGATGTATTTTTTGGTGTTTGTTTCTTTTGTAATTAGAAGTTTTATGTGTATTTTGAGAAGTAAATATTTGTATAACATGTATAGTCATCAATAATCACCTCAATTGTACTATTATCTGAAAGAGAAGGAAAGTGAATGGTGTTCACCTTGCAGAACATTGATAAATGAAATAGAAATTTGTACACTTCAACATAAATCATTCTCATTATCATATTTCGGCAAGAATCGTCATCAAAGTTTCTGTTCTGATGAGAATGTGATTGTATAAAAAAAGCTGCGCATTGGTGGAGAATGTAAGTAGAAGAAAGATGTGCAAAATAGGGCCGAATACACAGCCTATCTAAATATGAATGTTTGAAATAGTTCAAAAGTAAGCATTTTTATTAGCAAAGACAAATCGTTTTAATCTATCCATAATATTAAAATAGACAATAAATGATCAACTCATTCTGGTAATGATTGAACCTACTTCAATCGAAATATTTGCTTCACGGTTCATTTGATTTCCTTTTCTCATGAACCGATTAGACAATTTGAAATAGAGTGAAATATTAAATGTGTAGAAATACAATTGTAAATGAAACTCAGAGTCTTTGGCAAGCGCTTTGAAGCAAGAGATATGTGTAATGAGAAATGCAGACACTTAAGAATATTCAACGCCTATTTCTTCTAATTAGCAGACGATGTTATACTCACTCTTTTCGAAAATCGTTTCTCAACTAGCTTTCCTTTTTTATCAGAATGTTTGATACTCTATTAAAATACTTCAAAGCAATGTGCTGATAATTGGTCGAATGTAAGTAAATCCGTCTGAAATTCATTCAATGATCAAGTTTTCCACTTTTCTTCTCGAATCTAAGTAGATTTTGACGAGCTCTACCAACTCCATATTTCATATACGGGCCTTAAGGGCGTGAGGCAATTTATACAACAAGAGGAAAACGTGTGCACTCTAGTTCTTCAGAAAAGATGTCGCTAATGTTCATCGAAAAAATTCCAAGAGCAACTTTTGCAAATACAAATTTTGACACAAATATAAAAATACTTTAGAGTTTTCCTGAAATCTGCTCCAATTCGGCGATTTGACATCTGTGGTTGTTGCTCGGTTATGAAAATTTCGTCAACGAGTTCAATGGCATTGAACACCAATCCCTAACGTGATTCTTTGTCGAGTTCTACTACTAACCTAGACGAAGATATTTCAATCGTTTATATCTTCAGATGAAAGCTTTGGTCATTTCGACAAGTCAACAAGAAAAATTAATTCAAAATGAAACCGAACGTCGACGAACACTTCGTCTTCTCCAGGTAACTTCATTATTTACCCAAAAGTTCTCTTCACATATGTATATGAACTTTCATGAAATAGACTCGTCAGATAGAAAAAGAACGAGCTGCTCAACTTCGACAAACCGTAGCAGATGAAAAGAAGAAACAAACTTATCTTCTTCTCAATCGACTCCAAGTAAATCATCCTTACACTCTCACCCTCAACTTTCTGTTTCTTTTCTGATTAGGACGAATGGGTTCAAGAGAAGATTGACTTGCACGATAATCTCGAATATCAGTTTCGTGAGAATCTCATGGAAATGGGCAAAGGTCACAAAGAAGCAGCTGATCAAGTAACATCTCTTGTTGCTGTTGATGATGTTGTTGCTGAGATCGATTTGATTTGTTTGTAGCCCGATTATGAAGAGCAATGGCTGAAGAAGACATCAGAAAATGATGCTCGTGCTGTGGAACGAGGTCAACAAGCACTGGACAAACTTCACAGTGATACGATGCAAAATGAAAATGAACGTAATCTTCATCTTCTCCATCGGTTTGTTCAATACTCCATGAATTTTTATGGAAAAGAAATCAATTTAATTTTTCTTTCGTCTAGAAAAGCAGCGTTGGAACTCGAGAAACTGCGCGCTCAACGTATTGCGAAATTACCTGTACCTGAAGATCCTCTACGTGATCTTCAAACGAAACCAAGTGAGTGATTCGAAGAGAAGTGAGAAGATTGAAGACATGCATTGGTTTTTAGCCACAATTGTGACTGTTCATGATCCGTATAATTTCACCACATCACGATATCATCTGGAAGAACGACTTGTGACGAGAGAAGAAGATCAACAAGTAAAGAAAGAGAAAGATGGCTGAGAAGGAGGACAATGTGTTTGTGTAGGGAGACGCGGCCGAAGATGCGATTGTTGAGCAAGAACGTGTTGATGCATATGTGTGCGATAAACAACGATTATGGAATGAACAACAAGAAAAAGCTCGTGTTCGTGGCGAAAATGCGCTGAAAAGAGAAGTTCTCGACAATGTAAAATCTATCATTTCTTTTCCCATCGATTTCATACTTGATGTTCATAGGCATATGATAATGTGCTGGAAGAATTGGGTAAACTGGAAAGACAAGATCGAGATCGTCGTCAGAAAGAGATTCAGAATCTTCCCGTAAGTATTATTTCATCTAAATGACATATGAATTGTGTAAGTGGAGAATATGTCGTGTTCTTTTGTAGAAGAGTATTTTTATTCCACCGTGGCGTCGTGAAGAAGAACGTGAAGAGAGACAACGACAAATGGAAACAGCCTTTGAACAAGTTTATCAAGATAATCATCGCAAACGTTTGTTTTGTTTTGCTTTTAAAAGAAGTGAGATGTTATTATGATTTGGACTTGTTTTCAGAAGCAATTCCCATCGTGTTGATGAACGAAGATGAAGGAGTAGACGAAGAAGATGTAGCGAGTGATCGAACATTGATTGCAGACAATGAGGAAGAAGAAGAAGAAGTTCAAGCACAGTATCGAATGGCAACTGTGACACCATCGGTGAATACAGTTCCATTGGCAAATGAAGAAGTTCATGAAGATGAAGAAGCAACATTAGCAGATCCAACCTTAATGACATTACAAACTCCATTACCTGAACAACAACAGCTGATCAAACAGCAGAACATCAATCGTCTCATGGAGAAGATCGAGCGACAAAGGCAAGCAGCACAAAATCGATCGAATCAACAATCAATTGTGACACCAACGATGAAAACACCGAAACGACTTGTTGTTAGTCCTGGCTATGTGGAAAGTACAACATCGGCGAATTCTTCAGTTGTTCAAGGGGATGAACAATCATCAGCGAATACAACAGCAACAGCTGATATAGAAGCGAGACGCAATCATCTTGAGTTTCGAAAACGAGCTTTAGAAGAACAAATTCGTCTTTTATCTGCTCGAGCTAATCTTCTTCCTCAAACAACATCAGTTGCAATTGTTTCACCTACATCTGATGTTTCGATTGAAAGTTTATTGAAAAATCTTCGTATGACAAACAACACAACAAGTTTTCCTTCATCTGCAGCATCATCAGTTTATACTGGTAAACGACAGCGAGATGATCATGAACAGTTTGTTCAAGCAGTTCAAGCGATTGTTTCATCGGATGAATGTCAATCACAAACATCATCATCTGGTATTGCGATTGAAGATGATGATAAATCACACGAAACAATGTCGAATGGTTCGAGTCGTGAACGTGTTCATTTCGACAAATATGAAAGTCATTCATCAGAAGACCGTGATCATTCATTAGAAGATCTCATTTCACGTCTTGTTGCCACTCAGCAACAGCAACAACAACAACAATCGAACAATCAATTTCATGAACTGATCATGGAAACACGACCTTCGCGAATCGAAGTGACGAATCGTTCGTTGATCATTGATGATCTTGTGGATGATGTTTTGTCTTCGATGTCATCGTTGTCTGGTAATACACCTGTAGATCCAAGATCGGCATCACCAGAAATGGCGCAGTTATTGTCGTTGAATCGAAATGTGGAAAGTGCACAAGAATTTCATGTGACTCGATCAGATGAGAATCGTTTCTATGAAGAGAAACGATTAATTGAACAAGAATTGGAACTGATTCGACGTGAACGAGAAAATCTTATTCATGAGCATGAGAAATATCGACAACAAGCAATGTAAGTGTTATGATTTTACAGTTCTACTTTTCTACGATTCCTTCTCTTCATATAGGATGTCAGCAGGAGGAGCAGCAGCAGCAGTACCAATGGCAATGGCACAACAAACAGCAGTTCAGCCACCACCTCCTCCTTCTCTTCTCCGAGCGAAATTGAATCAAGTTGTGACAAACGAAGCACATGAGTTGAGCACAATTCAAGAAGTCGACACACCTGTCAGTTCAAGAAATACATCAGTATTTCTTCATCGTAGTCCATTGAAATCATCGTATGATCTTCAACAATTAGAAAGAATCTCCTCAGCTGATTCGTCGTCATCATCTGAATCTGATCACAATGAAATTCTCTCATCACAGATCTCAGCAACTCAACTTCTTCTTCAACAACAACAGCAGCAGCAACAGGTGATTGTGACGAATGGATTGGAACGAGATGATTCGGGTATTTCATTGTTCGATGGTCCACGCTCATCAGCAACATCACGAACAACGATCGCTTGTGGAAACGGTGGTGGGAGAAGTTCAAGTAGTGGAATTCAAAGTTTGTTACCAACACGACAATCACGTGTTCGAACGATCACAAATGAAACAACAAATACATCATCAAGCACAAATCCACCTGTGCTGACAACAACACCTCGATCAAATACCGAATCCGATGATCAATCATTGTCAAGTATTTCGAAGAAATGGAGAGATATTCTTGCAAACGAATGTTTACCTCAATTGCCTCAACTGGGTAATGCAAATAAAGATAGTGAGCCACAATTAACACATTCACTCGGATTTGGATCATCAAATATTGATGGTAAGTGTCAGAGGACTTGTGAAAAAAGAAAGATCTGAATTGCTTTTGTGTAGATCTTCTTGTGCCGTCATCATCATCATTGACTCATCCACATGAGATATTTTCATCTTCATCTCAAAGTACACAAGAACAACTTCTTCGTTCTCAATACGCGAATGAACAGTGTGATTTGATGTCATTAATAAAAGTTCATGAATATCTCACAAAACAACAACCAACAACAACAGCAGCAGCGACAACATCAGCCATGCCACTTGTTGATCCGATGATACCTTCGACCACTCCGCCAGTTCATCATCGATCTTACTCAACATTGACATCTGTAACATATCGTTCTTCTCTTGCCAAACAAGTTCTTGCCAGTGGTCAGCCCATCTCCACTCCATCACATTGTTCACATTCATCATCATCAGATTTACCATTAAATCATGTTTTACAAGAGAAAAGCGATCGTCAAGGTAGTGTGATCAGTGATATTCATCATTTGACGAATTCTCCAAATACATTCGAAACATCGATCACATCCAACTCTTCATTATCATCAGCATCGAATAAACATCACGATACATTATCTTACTTGATCGAACAGAATCAACGTGCCATGCAGCGACTCATCACAAATCATCAAGTGAACTCGAATGAAGAATCAACAGCGATACTTTCATCGGCATCGATGCGAATACCTGATTATGAGAGTGGACAACTACTGACAACCATCTCACATGAAAATACTCAATTGTCACGAGCACAAGCACAACAGAAGAGCACATCGATCGAGACAGGATCTTTGTCAACAGTTGATTTTCCATCTGCTCTTTTACATGCTGAAGAACATCGTGTATTTGAAACAGTTGAATTGAATTCTAAAGTGAGTTTAACTCATCGTCGTGAATCTGTTGATGAAACGAAACGAAATGAAATGATTGATTTAGATTGATGGTGATGATCATGGTATTCTTGATGAACCATCGTTGACTCTTCTTTCGAACAGTTATCGTTCATTAACAACAACAACAGCGACGACAAATCAAATAGTGAATGAAATGGGAACTCAATCGAGATCACAACAAAAGAAGAAACAATGTTCATCTCCACTTTCGACATGTGATGATAAGACAAGTGCTTGTTCAACTCCAGCATTATCACCGATCAAAAACGAACCGTTTGCGATAAGTGAAACAAAGATTCGGTCCGAAGCATCAGCAAATGTGTTTTCAGCAATCCCAGCAGTCAGTCGATATTCTCCATTGTTGTCATCAGTATCAACTAGTTCATCGCTTCAATTGTCGTCACGAAAACTAAACAAGGAAGAAGCTCCCGTACATAGTAATGACGCTTCGTTACTTTCATTTGAGCGACATGAAGTGAGTGCTGGAAATGCAACATTAATGACAGCCAATGATCAAGATGAATTGAAATCCAATGAAAACAATTCACCAATCATTTCGACAAATGCAGACTGGTCGTATTTTGTCACTGTCCGCGAAGGGTTGTCCAGAGAATTAGAAAAACCTTCTCCAGCTACTTCATCTGGCTCATCATCATCCTGTTCATCATTATCCAATAATGATACAGGACATTGTGAACAACGTAGACATATAGGCGGACTCGAATTTTTCATTAGTGGAGATCAGCAAGATTCTTCTACTCGTAAGTCATGAATCACTTCATCTTCCGTCGAACTCGTTTTCCTTTTCCCATAGCTCAAGTTGTTCAATTACCATCTCTTCAATCGGCATTAGAAACACGTCGAGCTGATTTCCTTGCGACAAGTCAAAAACGTGTTGAAGAAATTAAAGCTAAAGATTATACAACACCAACACCAACTTCTCATATTCCTGTTGCAACACGCTTTGTAACGTCAAAGTCGGCTCCAACAACGGCAACAAACGGAGTTGAAACCGATTCGGATGAACGACAACGACGTGTTCGAGAATCGAAAGAACGTTCTAAACGTTTGTACGATCAATTAGCCGAAGTTCAACAAAAGAAAAAGTTTCATGAAAGCAAGCAACAAGCTCAAGCTTATCGTGCGCGTATGAACGCTTTTCAAACGACATTAACTAAAAAAAAGACAATTAACAACAAAAAACAGTGAGAAGTCTGATAAATTGATTTATCTTTCGTTGGTATGTGTGCGTAGGATTTCTTCTTCAGCTTTTCTTTTCGTGTATATTATCGGTAGATAGTTTTGTGTGTCTTGTCTTTAAGAATATAAATCAATTTAGAGAAATAAATAACAAGTCAATCGTCAATTTATTGATATTGATCATGATACGAATTACTATTAAGATGATTCAGATTTGGAAGTAAAAGCTTCTCGGATTGTTGATTTCGTTGGTTACGTTTCGGATTCGTTCGACGCTGATAGGAACTCTTCGATGCTAGAAGCGAATTTGGAGCGGATAGACCAACAAGTCTCGACGGAGTTGTAAATCGTAGAGTTTGAGTTGGAACTGTTCGACACATCAACATGTTGAATAATTCGTATCGGCCGTGTTTTCCACTGACAATAGAAACAAAGACATTAGATGCATAGTTGAACAATTCTAAAGTTTTTAGAATATGTGGAGCGAAATGAGTTAACGAACAATCGGGAAGTCGTTGATAAAAGTTTAAGTAAAATTGAAGAAGATATCTAAAAGAAAATTGATCGTGAAGAAGAGAAACGTTTGAATGGTAAAGAAGTTTACCGAGGTGAAATGGTGAGAAGAAGAATACATGAAGAGAAAAAGATCATTGGCGTTACGGATCGATGATGACCATGACGGATAAGCAAAGATGAGGAATGTTTCGATGAATCCTGTCGAGATTGACGTACACTGATGAAGAGAACAATATTTGCTGTGAATAATAAAACAAACGGAACAGCAACACGAAAAATAACGATGATTAATAAATATATTCGTTTAGCATTCGGAGTTAGGAATGATGATTGCTTGATAAGTGTTACATTTGCCGTCGGAGATTGCTCATAATGACAAACTATGGAATGACTGTTTTCTCGATATGCTCTAAAAAGGAACAAGATGTGATTATCTTGTAGATGAACCATATTTTATCATTATTATCATTGTAATTAGGCAAATGACTACCGATAATTACGGTAAATTTGCAATGTAATTAATATTTCTGAAAGAAAATGTCAAGAAAGCAAGTCGATATCGATCTGGGAAAATTCTCGAACTTCTCGTTTTTCTTTGCACGAGCAAAATCAATAATTCAATGTAAATAATTAGAGAGAAAAAGATTCGAACTAGTCATTTTCTTCGTCATAGACTAGTTTTTATCCGAATCACATGAAATACTTGACAAAATAATACTAAAAGTCTCTCTTTCTTTAGTTTCTAAATAAACATTTATTGACAAAAGAATTTCTCATTGAGATTTCGAATCTAATTCGCTTTCTTTTTATCCTATTCTTTTTGTCTTATCAGCAAAAACTGTAATCCTATGAGGATTCTAATGAACAACGAATGATTAAAAAGAAACGGCGGATACTTTGCTAATTACTATCAATAAGCAAACGATGCTCTCAGTATGGAATACTTCATTAATTTCCAGCGAATTTTCCAAAGGTTAATAAATCTTACCTTTTCACGTAAAATCCAGGTTGTAAAACTAATGAATTAACAAGACAAGATAATAATACAACGCAGAATATCAAGCGAAGAGCACGTTTTCCTCGAGTATCTGTAAGCGTTTGTAATGGCTTGTAAATAACTAAACATCGTTCGACTGTCAATGATACTGCAAGCCAAGCACTAATTGAACTTGCGACTGATTCGGTAAATAACTGAATCGGACATTCAAATGGACGAAAATTCAGTTTAAAAATTTTAAAATCAAGTAGAAAGAAAAGACACCAGAGAGTCAATCGAACGAGATCGACAACAGCGATTGCAGAAAAGTAGTAGGAATAAGCTGAACGGCGAAAATTACGTGAAGTAGCGAAATAATAAAGTGCAATGGGATTAAATGTCAACCCGAAGACGAATAAAGCGATTCCAGGTATTAAATGTCCATATAAATAGACCGAACTGGTTAATGAGCTACACCAATTATTATAAGTAGTTTTGCCAATTGCTGAAGTGATATTAAACGTTGATGAGTCGTTTTTGCCGAGCGAATCAAACATTTTCAATATTGTCAAAAATCTCTCTTTTGTAAATGTTGAACAAGTAATGTTCTTGATTCTTCATTGATTAAGAAACAGAGTTGATAAAATAGTTTTTTCTCTCATTGTGTATACAAGAGAGAAGAGAAAGAGCGAAAGAGAAAGAAATGTCTGCTTACAGCAAAAGCACTCACTCTTCCTCCTAATAGCGCGTGACATTCAGCTTTTATCTCAATTGATGGTTCTTGTGTTACAAAAAAAAAGGAGAAGGGTGAGTCTTCCTATATTTCAGACCTCAATTACTCTAATAATACCAGTTATTTGCACGTATTACTGACGAAACACACATAGACAGTTCTATTCGTTTGACACAATGATCACTGATAATGATGTCTTCTGTCTTTTGATTTGAGAGTACAAATTAATTAAATCATTGTTCGTATTTGTGAATCTTTTTCTTAAATATTTAAATATTATTTTATCAAACAAATGTCTCTTGATATTTTTCTCATGAAGAAATGCGTATGTTAAGAATAGAAATGAAGAAAAAGAAAAGAATAGAAGTATCTTGTTTATTTCATCTATATTCTTTCTGGAAAATCGTTGCATTTTACTCAAACAGACTCATTTTTAGTCGTTCACTGAGAAGAAAGCACACAAACGTTGATTCTTCCTAAGTAATGAACTGAATCAAATCCATATTTTCATTCTCGTGACGTTGTTAGTGATTATACGATATTCTGCGTGAGTTTTCCAGTAGCATAAACGACTGATTATGCTTCTTGATATGCATTACACCGGAAAGCTTACGAAATGTTATCGTGTGGAGAAAGATTATGTCTTTATTGTCGTGATTATCACTGATTCCAGATCTTTGGTCTTCCAACCGATGTAAAAGAACATGAATTTCGTTCGGAGACAAATCGATGTGGATCAACTTGCTATTGATGTAAAACTACAGTATAATGGAGAAAATACAAATACATTGTAGATTATCTAATTGGTCTAAATTGTTGCTAAGTACCGAATTATTGCATTCTCATCGGAAAATTTCATCAGAACGATAAATTTTTAACACAGTAAAAAGAAACTAATTATAGGAAAAAGACCGGGAAAGTGGATAAACACACTCGGCTTTTGTAAGATAATGGCATAGTCAAATACTTGTTTTATAACGTCCTCGATCGTTTTCCATTCTCGCCTCGAAGTTTATTTGATTGCGACATCACGTACGTCATATTTTCTCATCTAATTACCAAAATACGGCCGTGTTCATTTCTTTTGTTCGATTTCTAATCTGATTTTGTTCGTCTTGTCTATACTTTCTTACAGCATTAGATTTCTTATTAATTTTCATTGACACCTTCTTTTCTTTTTCTCAATTCAGTGAAAAAAATCGTTTGACGGAAAGGTTTGGTACTTGAACTTCAGCTCTAGTGACATTCTTTCACTCGAATTTACATAATCAAGCTAAATTATAGTTCTTCAGACATAACGTCTCATTAATGATTATACTAATTACGTGAATACCTTGTTTACTCAAGAAAGTTACAGAAACATTGGATTTTTTGTGCTTTCACACGCTAGCAATGATTTTTGTTTTCGTAAAATATGATTTGTGAATAACAAAGAATGTCAACGATTGAGTGTCGTTTACCGAGTAATTCAAAAGAAATCAAAACTCGATAGTTCGCTCTGACAATCAACATGTTCTATTTCTATTTAACGACACAAAATTTGCCGCTTGACATAGTAAAAAGACATTCATAAACATTGATACTTCTCTGTCAATCATACATGTACAACGCGAAACTTGAATTCGAGTATTCAACTATATAATCAAAGCGAATTACCTTAGAATTCTGACTAATCTCACACTCTCTATATACTCTGGGAGCGTCGAACTATGTTGTTTTCCCCTTGGAAGAGTCTCTGTAATAATACAAACGAAATATAATGATAGATTGCTTAATAGTTCATGCAGTTTAACACACCATTGCCAATATGCAGAATAAATTGACATACCTATCGGACATTGTGTAAACTTAACTGAAAGAATCGAATTCTGGTCTTTGTGATTGATTTGCTCGAGTGAGTCGTTGAAGAAGACGAAGATAGATTTATGTTTCAGTGATAGATAAATGCTTTGTGCGTGGAAAAATGGTAATACACGCATATCAAGTTTGAGAAAAATTCAGCCGGCGGTTATGTTCAGTATGAACTCTCAACGGACGAGCATTGTTTTCTTCGCGCTACATAATAATAATAATATAATGAACATAATCGATGAAAGACGCACCACCTGTTTGGAAGATTTGCCCAATGAGTTATGGCTCGAACTTTTCACCTTTTCTACTTGGTTTCAAATCAAATCCACTTGGCTTCAGTGGCAAACTGAATGAGCGCATCATAGCATTAGCTCGTGAAACATTGAATCGTGTTGCCTTCGAAATCTTCACGATGGTTGATATCAGGATTCTCATTTTTGCCACACCTTCGTCAATTGATTATCTTCACTGATTTCATCAGTGAATATGTTCTGTCGAATATTGCTTCATTGATTCTTCTAACTGCATCGTCTCGTGCTTGTCTTCAATCTACAACATAAGAATTATGGTGCTGTGCTATTGCAGATTGTTACACATCGTATCTCTTTGCATACAATGGAATTCATCATTGAGAATGGTAATTCAACAGAATATATCGATTGATTGATAGATACTTCTTCTTTTTCAGAGATTCAGAGCTCCTATAATCTTAACTTTGATTTGAACATGTTGTGCACTCGTCTTAATCATTAGTCGATATTTTCTCACACTATTCGTTTACGTCTCTCATTGCAACATATATCCGAATTGACATTGTTGGTTCAATCTGACGATTTACCACGTGTTCAACATTTACATATCACATTACAAGATAAAGTTGGTTATCTGTTGGATTGGCCAATTTACCGGAAAATACCATCGCGTTTCACATCGTGTCCAAACGATCTCCGTCCATCTCAAGCCGATCAGTCAGAATTACGCACATTACATTTACAAAACATATTCATGAGTGATGTTCTTCTCTTAATTGAACATCTTCCATCCATGGCTCGATCGAAATCACTAACACTAATCCACTGCGATGTAACAGGTATGTAACAACTATCTCTCAAATTGTTGCAATATCCCTTCTTTCGCAGATACAAACCAATTAATTATATTCAAATACGCCATTTCAAGATATTTACTCACTTGGCGTTTTCTTCGATATGTGCTCTGGTTTCCGAATGAAATAATACTCGATAGAAACGATTCTCTTTGTTGGTTAAACTTAGCTGATTGTGCTGTCGAAGAAGAGACATACGATGACGGCAAATCGAGTAGAGTTGTGCTATACACAGTTCCTTATCCGGTCGACTGTTGCCGTCAGGTGAACAATCACACATTTACTCGACGATCTCCAGTCAGTCAAATGGCTAATCAATTGTGTTGGACAGTTGATCAAGATCCATTGTCGATCGATCACAGTGTTGCTCGACTACAGTATGTTCGTTCTCTGCAGTGGAATTATGTTATTCAAGTTAGTGATTTTCGTCTGTTAAATTCTCGATCACTCTTTTTTGTCCTTAGAGTATTGATCCACACCCTCGTCTAAGCAATGAACAAGGTTCACTGGCTCGTGTCCTCATTGATTCAAATGAAGAAATTATTCTCTGGCTTTGATATGATGAGTGATCTTTCATCTCAATAGTCTCATCACTCTTGGAAAATAAATTGATCACAAATCAAAGAGGAATTACTTCAAAAATTCTATAATCCTCATTTGTTTTAAAATATCGAAAATTATTGAGATTTTCTGAAAAGAAAGATCAATGTTTCAAGTGTGAATGTCAATAGCCAAGCATGAGTATAAAAATAAATTTCTAAGACAATACTTTCAAGGATGATGAAGAACTGCCGCTTGTAAAATTCAATGGAAACGATTTCTCAAATTGTTTTGCCGGTGAAAAGTTTGCACGAATGGAACTCAACTAATAATTGGCTGGATAATTGATACTACTCTCTTGAAACATGACGAATAGCAAGAGGCGAAAGGAGTGTAAGAGAACGTCGGCTTCATAAAATAGATCGAGTATCTTCACACTATTGTATTCTTCCGGCTGGATGGTTGTTTTTCTCTTATGTTCACACATCAGCAGATAAATATATAAACAGTAGAACGTGAGAGATGAAGACAGCGCAAAAATAGAGAAGGGAAAAACATAACGTGAACTTTTGTGAAGTAAACCGCATTCACTTTTACACTCGGTCGCTCGTTACCCATCGCTTTTCGTCTGATTGCGCATGTAACCATGCCCATCATCAAGAACGTAAACTTCGGAGAAAAATTATGCGAGCGTGTTCGTTTAGCCAGTAGTGGTGTCAACACATGCATCGTTGTTGTTGTTTTTATAAGCGACAGCGATCTTGTCTTCATGGTTCACCTTGATTCTGTTCCATACGTGACCAATCTTTGTTGCCACTGGTCAATATTAAAAGAATAATCGAGACCGCGTTGCAAATGTTCTGTGAATCAAATGGTGAAGCTGTTGCTGAGTGTATTTCTGTATGGAGGAGTATCAAAAGCAAATAATGCTGCGATCGATACTTCACTGGAATCTATTCGGCTGATGAATAATGATATCTTTCCGGAAAATCCGATGATCAATGTGGATAAATTTCGTCAATTCATCGCCGCCATTCGATTCCATAATCTATCATTTAACTTAGCTTCAAGTTCCAACCCAAACGATGACGACAATGAATTCAACTGGGTCTCTGATATCGCCATTGTTTGTGATAGAAGTACTGTCCCTGTTACTCTGGCACTTATCCAATATGCTGGTCAAGAAAGGGAAATGACAGGTGATCGAAACGGAATGGAACCTATCTTTCTCTACCTCATTGACATAACGAGCGGATGGATGCCTGTTTTCTTCACTCGGCAACCTACTCACCAGCCACTTTTCATTGATAATGAGCGCCAAATAGCTGCATCACGCAACACACTGGGCAACTCGCCGGAACGAAACACATTCAAGAAGCTCGTCAGCATTGTCATGAACGTTCTACTTCCACGCATCGAAGAAAACTGAAGGTTGAATAATGTTGCAGTTTTATCCTTATTTTTTATTTGTTTCGACGATGATTTATTTTCTGGACTTTCTTTTCTATCTCTCTCTCTGCTTCGGTGACTTTCTCCGCCTATCTTTCTTTCTAGATATATTCATCGAAGTATTATATGTCCTTACAGCTGGCTACATTTGATGTTTTATGTTACAACATTCTCGCATTAAAAACGGCATGTTTATATAGAACGATTGGTGTCTCTTCTTTGTGTTTATGCACGTATGCGCGTTGACGACGACAATGCATCCTTGCCATCACTATCCTTATATATGTACTTGTATATCGATAGATGGAGAAGGGAGAAAATTTACCTGAATTCTCACCGCTTGGCGATCTGATGCATCGTTGTTTCTTTTCGAAGTCACAATTCCCAACTCACCGGTCCCGTCTGACAGTTACATTTGAAGAGAATTTTCTCTCGAATTTATATTCACCGAGAGAAATCGTTCAGAGAATCATGAAAGATAGATCCATCATTAAAAGACCTGATAAATGCGTATTGAATATGGAAAATGCCGCACATTGTTATTCAAATTAAAAAAGATATAGACTTTGTTATCAAGGAAGATAATAGATGGATTGATACTTTGAAGAGCAAAGCTCACTAGTACTTCAATACATTAATATTATTATTACTTGCATCAATCAATTCGTTTTCTACGTTGTTCTTGTTTGACTGTGTGTGAAAGCGAATTGTTTCCTCGTTCACAAGGAAATTGTCCGATGTATTCTGTTTTTTTTTAGAAATTTCTCGTCTCACGATAAATCGTTTTTCTTCCGATTTACTGAATATCGAGAAAATGTTCATCGTATTCACATAAATTCAATCCGAAAGAGAGAAAAGATTGATCTTTGTACTTTGAAAGTACAGCACAAAAACCAAAACATATGCGGAACTAATTCCAACTGAATCTTCATTCTCAGGACATTCATGTATTTCCAATTCTTCACATCGTTGTTCGTCTTCTCCTTGCATACAACAATCAAATTTTTCATCACAATTTTCGCGACAATCGAGACACATCGTAGATGGACCAGGATAACAATCAACTAAGAACGAATAACACGTATCAGTAGGTTTATTACGTTGGAGCGAGAGAATTGAACAAGATTATGAAGTGAGAAAGATGTAGCTACCGTTAGATTGTTAACTTTCACTTAATGTCACTAGTGAGATTTTTTGCGAGAGTGTAATTTTCCTATTAATTGAATTATATATGTAACATTGCCAATTAATAATATGATCATGTTGGCGAATCGTCCTTGCGCTGAAATCATCGATTACTAATTAATCTCAAATATAATTGAATCGTGGCATTTTTCTTTGAGAAGTCTCTCTTTAGATGATGAAATTCTGACAAAAATCAGAGATGTCTTTATTGTTTAAAACGAACACGTTCTAAATGCATGAAAAATTCAATGAAGGACAGTGGAATCATGTTAGCATCTAAATCTCATTGAATTGATTCAAATGAATGTTATTTTAATTTATTAGATTCTCGTAAATCGTTCTTTTTTCTTGAGGGTGTTGAAAGTTTATGGTGTAAGTAGCGGTGAATTGCCTGGTTTCTGAGGGAAAACGAAGATGAAAATATTAGGCATAGCTATTTGGGACATTTTACATGGAGAGTTGGGTTCGTGTTAAATTGAGTAAAAGAAACTGTTGTGACAGAAACCCAAATGTCCGATGTATAGGGGCGATGGGTTTCGCTGTGTTCTTCGTCCATATTTATATGCATATAGAAGAAAGTTTGTTCGCTATGTGTTCAGTGTCTGTAATAGCTACCGTCGGCAAGCGTCCATCGACACTTCTTTTGACCCAGAGAAAGGTTGACATCTACTTTGTTGCGGAAAAAGTGAATCACGCGCTTGCCAGCAGCGTGCTGTGCGACTGACCAATAGGAGAGGACGATTCCATAGATAGCGAAAGTTGGTAGCGAAGGCCGTCTGAGCGCTCGTACCCAAAAATCGAATACTAGAATACTCGAAGAGATAGTTGAATACTTGAATTCAAGTTTCGAGTTTGACACTACTGTCAATACAAAGACAACCTGGTGATAAATATCTTCTGCAATCGAGTTACAGAATGTGTAACATTCCTGATATAGATATGAGTGAATGGATGAGGTAAGAATGGTTTTGGCGCTGAAATCTTTGCATTTTTTAAAAATTTGTATTAAAAATTATTTCATTTGGTTGTTGATGATCACAGAAAAGCAAGTTGAACATGTTATTATTCCTATTCTCAATGAATATTCTCTCACTCTTTTCCCGAATATAATTATAATCGTTTTCACACTTATTTTGATCATTTTCTATATTCGTCAAAGTCAAAATCTAAAACATCAAATGGTTGAAACATATTCGACTTCTAACACTCGTTTTTCCACATTTTCATCTCCAAATTTATATCGAAAAGCTTCTTTTAATCGTTCAAAATCAGTAACAAGTTTTTAATAACAAACCACCATTTTCACAATTTCAAATTGGTTTCTAAGAAGATCATTTTACTTTTATTTTTTTCTCCGATAACAATGTTGAATAAATCAAAATCGAATCGAATCAACGGTTATTATGTTTTCGGTAAAAACAATTCGAAACTCGTCCGAGATCAACTTGATAAACTTGATCTCGATCGATACGACACGATTCCTCTCGGTGGAGTGAAATTCAATTGGATTACACGTTCAAGTGACATCGATTGGAATAGATTCGATTCCAATTTTCAAATTCTCAATCATATATTCAACGAAAAGCAACTTTCAAACAAAGGTCTATTATTGAAAAACCTGAGAACTTACTTCAAAAGCAAATCGAGTATTTTCTTACAAAAGTTTCTCCCTGAAACGTATTTATTAGATAATCTCATCGATCGGATCAATTTCAAGAAGAATTTCCAGCAGAATTCATTGTGGATATGCAAACCAGTCGGACTTTCCTGTGGAAAAGAAATCTTTCTCTTCCGTTCAGAAGAACAACTTGAAAATCATCTCAAACAGTATCAACAAAGAGATTTGTATTCGAATCGTCTCGTTCAAAGGTATATCGAAAATCCTCTACTTATCAATCAACAAAAATTCGACATACGCACATATTTCTTATGTATTTGTTTATCCAACGATGTTTTATGCTTTGCCTGTCAAACGGGATATCTTCGTTTATCGATGTACCAATTCAATTTAGAAGATTTGAATAAATTCATTCATTTAACTAATCAAACGATTCAAAATAAAGATGAAAACTTTCCTTTAAAGAAGAATATGACGGGAATGACTATAGAGGAGTTCAATGAATATTTCAACGATGTGATTCAACCGAATATGATGGGGTTAGACAAAGATTGGGTAATTCATCAATTACCTGTAAGAATCTTCATTGAAAAATCGAGAAAAGTTGTTCAGTTTGTAGAAACAAATCACGAATATTCTTCATCAAGTGGCCTATGCGATTAGAAATCAATTAACTATTCAGGAAGGTTGTTTTGGTTATTATGGAGTCGATATTTTAATCGATGAGAAACTGAACTGTTGGTTATTAGAAATTAATAGTGGACCAACGTTGGATATGACCAATCAAGCACTGGAGAAAGTCATTCCAATGTGTTTAAATGAAGCAATTCGTAGGTTTTTGACTCAATTAAGAAGGAGATTGTCTCCTACGATGATTAGAATGAGAAAAAAAATATGAATTTGTACTCTTCTAAGGATATGTGTCAGACTGGTTTTGTTAAATAGGAATTGTGATTGATACGCTGGATAATTATCGTGAAAATGGTTCAGCATTTCCTCTTCGAGAATCGAAACTATTCAAATATCTTCCATTTAATACTTCTTCAATTCTATCGAATCAAATTCCGAGTTTTATTTCTATAAATTCGCAATTGATCGATCTCACACCTGGAACCAATCTTTCAAAACGTCGGTATCGTCGATTATATTCACAGAGATATCGATCGAAATCACGTTTATGAACTTTTATTTTTCAAAATGAATCCCATGACATCAGTTGACATTGAAGGAATTAACTGAATATTGCGAAATAGAATATGAGAGCAGCGAATTTCTTCTAAATTGACATAAAATGCTCGATAGTCACAATTAAATCTTTTCAGATTTTTTCCAAATGACATGAGCAATACACCAAGATAGGAGAAATCAATCAGGGAATGTTCATTATACACTTCCAAATGCAAATGATCGAGATTTAATTCAATCAAAGCGAATAAATCTTCGTAAATGATTTCATAAACACTAATTCGCAATGAAAGTAAGTTTCCATTGTTCACGGGTATGATCCATGATGATTGGTCATTCATAATCATATCTACACGTAGATATTGGAGACGAGGAACAAGTTGTAGACATTGACTAAGAACCATTCTTGAACAGGTAATGCCGGACAAATTAACGATCTTTTTGTTCGGTGTTCAAGTAGATCGAAAAGTTGGAAGAAGTGTGAAGAAGAAATTGCTCGAAGAAAGAAAATACCATTGATGTTATGAATCGTTGAAAAGACAATCGAAGATGTTCTAGGAAGGAATAAAGTGGAAATTGAGAAAAGAAACTTTGTTTAGTCTTACTAGTGTTGCAGGAGTTGATAAATATTCCAAGGAAGGGAAATTAAGGGCTAGATTGATCGAATTTGCGTATCAGTAGGTTCAGTTATTGTTAATGAACGTAATTTTGAAAAAGAATTCAATGATACTCCTGAACAGATATTAAATACACGTATACGATAAGAATTTGTTGCGAAATGTTCTCTCAGGTATGAATATTGTTGATTTTCCCCAAAGATATCGAAATTCACATGACAGCATTGCGAAAGATTCTGAAATCTTTGATTTAGCTGATCAAAACTTAGATAAACCTCCAAAGGAGCCAAGACAAATTCCATAATCATCAACAAAATTCCATTCGAAAGATTCTCCAACTGCGTCACCATTATTCCCTACATAAGTTCACTCTCA